ATCCGCAAATTGGCTCCCCTGTCTCCATCGAATTACAGGCCTGTGTTGCCAGACCCTCGGTATAAGAAATGCATTATTCCGAATAGTTATAGTTTCCTCGCTTCGCCAGATAATAACATAACTAGCAATTACTATACGAGAAGAAATAAAACGTTACTTATCTTGATTATGATAAACAAAGACCAAATGTAAATAAAGTTATTTAAATGTTAAATAGTGTCTGTAGTTAGTACAGTTTTGAACCGCGATATATATTAGTTAATTCAAAATTATGTTAACTACGGCCCGACTTCTCGGATGCTTTGCAGCAGCCGTGGTCACGGGGAGACTAAAGATGGAGGGTGTCTTTGGCGTCAAAGTTAAAATGGCTACGCTAGCGCCATCTACTCCATCGTAGTGCGTATTTGGCAAAACCGGCCTGGCGGAACAGATACATTGGGCCGTAGTTAAAATAATTTTGAAAAACAAAAAAATATTTCTCGTTTTGAACCGTTAAAGTGTTTTATGTAACCCTTAGTTATATTTAAAGGGTATAAAAGCGTGTCTGGTACAGGCCAGTGCATTAATTACTTGATATTATAAAGTCCGTACATGTATGCAGAAATGCAACTTACATGTCCGTTTGGGGGCCACGGGACACTCGGGGCCACTTTTGGCTGCGAGTGTTACAAACTTCCAAAACTTTTCTGATTAAAACCGTACCGTACCGAATAATTAACTGTGCTTTGCAACTACTGTCTTGTCCATTTTCGTATCGCATTCATTTATAAACCTTATTAAAAATTAAATAGATGTTTTAACAAATATAAGTTTGGATTTTTTACTTTAAGCGACATCTTTCGCCTATAGATCACATAGTACATTTGGTGCACCTAAAAAGGACATGAACTAATGAATTCGCAAAATAAATTGAAAAAATTACATACTGTCTATAGTTTACCCGAGTAGTACGCATTTAAAAAAAAAAAAAATTCCGCCCCGACGTTTCGAAAACGTCGGGCTGAAGTTAAAAATCATTTTCAAATAAGTTTAACTATTATAACACGTTATAAACGTAAATTGTTTAATAAAAAATTTACTCGGGCAGGACTTGAACCGGCATCGTTAGCGTTCCGTGCTGTTGCTCTAACCAAGTCGTAAATATTTTCAATCTATTTTCGATTTTTAATTTATATGTTGCCATAATGTGAAACATGTGAAAGATATAAAAGTTTTCAAATGAACTACTGAGTGAAAAAAAAATGTTTCTATCCAATCAATATTAATATAATAAAGCTGAATATTTTGTTTGTATGACACGCTTATCTCAAGAACTATTGGTTCGAATTAGAATTACTGTTCGGTTTTTGTACAGGCGTTTTTGTTTAGGATAGGATCCCAGGACCTCTCGCACTTAACCCAATGCTAGACAACACGTTTAACAATTTGGCTATAGAGGCGGATATACTATATAAACTTTGAATTATATTTTCAAATTTTGATAGTCTCGCCTTCGAAGACGAATCGTAAAATTAATCTCGCGAAAGAAATGACGCTATAAAAGCATAAAACTCGAATTTGAACTCGCGAACTCCTATTAACTCATTTGAAATAAGACTGTTAAATAGCAAATACATCAGGTAGGCAGTGGATTGTTAGGAATATTGTAATTTGAAGTTCTATCATAATTCTCCCGTGAAATATCACCTAAATTTCGGGGCAAGTTTACACCAGCGTAGATATTATTACCAATTACTAAAGTTTATTGAATAAATTATGTATTTAATATAAATAAACACTTTTAATCGTTTATAACGCGAATTACGTACCTTATTTATTATAACAACAGACCGTTTCGGATGCTTTACAGCAGCCCTAGCTAAAGGGGGGGCTAAAGATGGAGGGTGCCCCTAATGTCGCGCTAAATAAAATAGCGCCATCATTAGTTACAATAAATTCTGAGTTTTAAACCGTTAAAGAGTGCTATTTGCATAATAATAGTTTGCGTGAATGAGGTAGTTTGTTTTTAATCAACAGAGATTTTATCTAAGTTCTTCCTTTTTTTATTATACAGGACGACAGACAAGCACGGGGTCCACGTGATGTTTGAAATACCTCAGTCATATAACATCTATATAAAGATCTCGTGTCACAGTTTTCGTTGCCATACTCCTCCGAAACGGCTTAGCCGATTTTGATGAAGTTTTTTGTGCTTATCCGGTATCTATAAGAATCGGCCAACATTTACTTTTCATCCCCCTAAATGTTAGGGGTAGTCCACCCCTAAATTTTATTTTTTATTTCAAAACTTTTAATTTATATTTTTTTTATGATACAATATAAAAAAATACATACAATCCTCAATTTTCTCTACATGTTTCAGGAAAATTATAAATTGATTAGAATATTGGACCCGGTGGAAATCGTACCTACGCCCCGTTGATTGCTTCCGTTACAGCAACGATCCTGTCAATATCGCATTTTATCCATTAGCGAAAAATCAAAGACCTTGACAAAGTAATCAGAGATTAAAACAAAGAATAAACACGGAGAATGTTTATCGCAGAGAAAAACGAAATGGCTAATTAAAATCTCCGTAACGAAAAACATCGGTGTCCATTTTCCTCATTTCCACAGAAACAAGTGAACAGTAATAATGATATCACAACGGAACATCACGGTTAATATTATTGGGGACTTTACTAATGAGATTTTACGCGTCAGTAGTGAGGAATATTCCGAATACAACTTGAGACAGAGATCCGTTCTTTTTAATGTTTCACGTAAATATAATAGAAGCTAACTGCGCCAGCGACTTCCCCCCGCGTAGAATGGATTTTTCGGGCATCAAATTTGTGTTTGCAAATTCTTTCGTCAGTCGCTTCCTGTTGTCTTGCAAGTTAATCTAAAAAGATAGATATATACTGTCACAGACTCCTTTTTAGATCATTTAAGGAGGAATCCTTCTTTCATACATATTTTATGGTCCATCCTCAAAGATAAGTAAATCTTGCATCAGTGGGGGCTGCGGGTTGGTGCTGCTGATGACGATGAAAAAAACTAACTTACTTATGTTTCGCTAAATGGGAACCGCTCACCAATTCGCCTAAGACAATTGTGCTTAGCTTGCTTTCACAAACTTGAAATTAGGGAAGTTTAATATTTTGCACGTTTTTACACATGATGTTATATAAATAAAACAATATTAATTCAACGATGGCGTGTTGGATATGGTGCCTCAATTTGTAAGAGAATATAAAGATTTAAATAAAACACTTTCACGGTTTAAAACGCGATATATTAGTTAAACTTATTTGAAAATTATTTTTAACTTCGGCCCGACGTTTCGGATGCTTTGCAGCAGCTGTGGTCACGGGGAGACTAAAGATGGAGGATGTCTCTGACGTCAAAGTAAAAAATTGCTACGCTAGCGCTTCTTGAGGAAATTTAAGGATGTTTGGAGGCGGGTACGTTTCGTCACAAGACACTCTAGTAAGTGTTTTATTTAAATGTGTTCGCGTAAACTATAGACAGTATTGAATATAAAGATTTTTAATTCTAACAGAAACTTGTCTTCTCACGTTTTTCTTTTCACGTTAAGCGTGTAACTTTGTGCCTTACCGTGGTTTGCCTAAAAACCAATCAATGTCTACACATAAACAATGTATTTTTGTGGTTTTCATTTTTATATTTTATGTTTTTTTTTTTCGTTGTTTTAACGTATTAATTTTATACTTGGTAGCTAATTGTCAATCAAGCGTGGGGCACTGAAAATCAGCGTTGTGCCTACTTCCAGGTAAGACAAAAGCTGACTGTCCCTCCACATACATCTATTACTTTTTCTGGTTTAAATGATTTGATTTAAACATAATAATACTAACGAAAGCATTGACTTATTCACTAATTACAGCCATAATTGAGCGGCAACGATGTCTAGCGGACAAGTTTTAGAGAATGTTTAAACTTGTATCGAAATCCACTTGAAGTTGTTTAAAACCACGACAAGCAATCCCAGCAACAATGAACTCTTCATTTAGAATGAAATCTCTTTTTGTCTAGCTATTTTCGAAGGGGGTAACAGAGTAGACTAGTTACAGAGCTCGGTTTAAACTTTCTGTATTTCGATGAGCTCTTTCGTGTAAATGTATGGCTTCTAATCAACGGGTCTAGCATATTTCTAATCAATTTATAATTTTTCTGAAACATGTTGGAGTTCGTCTGTATATCTAGATATAAAATGGGTGGTAGGAACGTCGAAATTCTATCTGGTTGAATGAAAAAGCCGTTAAGTTTAGTCGCGTTTCACATTTAGTCTGAATTTCCCAATATTTACCTCGCTTTGATGTTATATGGTATGCATCGTATAAAACTACGTATAGACAAAAATAACGTATTACTTTGTTTGGAATTTCAAATAGCTGTGGTGTGGTTTCAAAAGAGTTAAAACAAGAACGATTCTATCTTTATTGTAGTAAATTATTGTATGTACTTATACAGTAAATATGACTTAATAAAATTAGATTATAACGCCCTCTGTCGTTTTTCAAATGTAATATTGTAACTACATATAAGCACAGAAGCGGTGCTGGATAAAAGACTTTTAATTACGAGTTGTACAAATTTAAATAAAACACTTTAACGGTTTAAAACGCGATATATATTAGTTAAACTTATTTGCAAATCATTTTTAATTTCGGCCCGCCGCTTCGGCTTTTTAAATAAGTTGAAGTAATATATATCGCGTTTTAAACCGTTAGTGTTATATTTAAATGCGTTTATGTTTGTCTGTACGTATTCCTAAATTTAGATTTGGTTAGAGGAACAATACGGAATGCTATGGAATCCGGCTCAAACCTGTCCGTGTAAAATGCTCACTCTAAAACCGATCTTCAACGTAAATACACAGGTCTTCAATTTAAAATGCTTTCGTCTATAATTATAGGAAAATAAAAGCAATTAGTATTAAAAACAGAAATTGTCTTACATGTGTCATGTCTAATATGAAATTGCTTTGATTTCAGAAATGTGGTGTACAACCTCAGCCTAACCGACCTCACGGAGCAACGGAGGCTCGTGTGGTATTCTTCAGAGAGCGATGTTCAGATGTGCGTTGTCAAGGGAAAAGATGAGGTAAATATATCTTAATTACCTTTTATTCTCACCAGCGTATATATAAATTCCGGCTCTCCATATAGTATTTGTTATTGTGATAGAAGAGGGAGACAGAATTCTATGAAAGAGGAAGACAGAAATGACATCTATAGCATTTAGACAAGATGCGCCGTCGACCTATTTTTGGCTCTGGATATTCGGAAGTCCACAGAACGCGATAATCCTTCACGGCTTTTTTATTTGTGGACGGTGGTTCGTTACCCGGATGGAATTTCTACATTCCAACCACACATTTAATATCCAGATTACCAGACGAAGTCCAACATGTTTCAGAAAAATTTTAAATTGAAAAAGTTGATCCGAGCCCGTTGAACGGACAAGCATAGGCTGCACTGGATGGTATGTGAAATACGATAGCTAAATACGATCTTAGCAAAATGCCCTGTCAACGAAATGTCAGTATGGCTCAGATATAAAGATCCCTGTCTAAATCAATAATGTTTCACCGGGTTATGAAGGAATAAAACATATACTACATACAGTTTAATTACAACTTAGTTATGGCAAAGAAGTTGTTTTAAATCAAACGTATGCAAGTTTTAAATTTAGAATGTTCGTAATCTATTTTTAACAGTATTTGATAATATAACTTGTACTATGTGTGTATAATATTAACATAAACAATAAAAGCGATCTTAATTAAATTCAATTCTTGTACCTACACAAATAAAACAATGTCTTCTCGTAATAAATCAACAAAGGATTCAAATAACATTCATTAAATATATGGGAAACAAAGAAATCGTCGACGAATTCTGAGATATATTTAAGTTAGAGATAACGAGAACGCAATTATATTGTGAAAATGTAAAATTGTCAAATCAACCTATATGAGGCATATAATTGAATATTAAATATGCTAACCGTAGTCGCGACGAACACATTTATAAGTACTGACACAAGTTACACAGAAATGTTAAAATTACAACATTTGACACACAACGTAATTAAAATATAAATAAGAAATGAGATAAAAGAACTAATTAAAAAGATACCTTGGGCTCGTTGGCAATATATGTTTGCTAATAACCGAGTCGTGGGTTCGAATCCCACCGATTTGAAATGTACAATTTTTCTGATACATATTGGACTACATCTCGTAAATCTAGATATTACGTATCTTAGTTAAATTATTCACGATTTATTAACTTTGGAAATTACTAATATACTGTCTGTAGTTTAGGCGAGTACTACACATTACGCTATAATGTATTAGTCAAACTTATTTGAAAATTATTTTAGTCTTCCCGAGACTACAACTGCAGCAAAGCATCCGAAACGTCAGGCCAAATTTAAAAATAATTTTTAATTAAGTTTAACTAATATATATCGCGTTTTAAGCCGTTAAAGTGTTTTATAATTTAAATTACTAATATATTTCGCGTATCAGACCGTTTAAAGTGCTCCCCCCGTAAAAAGTTAGTTGTTTTTGACGCTGTGTGTCTAATTTGGAAATTTGGACACACTTACAGAGTAATAAAACACAGAATAATTTGATAAATATTTATTTAATATTATGCAAAAACTACTTTGTGAAGTGCAAAAAACAATAGAACAACATGTTAAAGGAATATTTTTAATTAATGGAAATATAATCCTTGAAAATTCCTTTCAGTCTTACACATGGAGTGAGTGGATTAAAGATTTTCTTGGAACTATTCGTCTATGAAAATATTTCTAAGAAAAACCTTATCAAATAAGCGTTGATGTTAGTATATTTTATTTTACGAAAGAACAAAAGAAAATTCACTATGAAAATGTTTAGTAGGTGTTATTTTCATATAATTAATAAATGCTAATGTAGCGAGATTCGAAAAATAAGTTTCCTTCCAGAAACATCATATAAAAAAAAAACATAATGCATGTGTGAGTGAAATTCCGTTGACAATAGTGGGGCTCGCGCGATCAGATTTTCTTATCCGTATGACATATCGATTTTATTTACTAAGTTGCCAAACTTTTGTGTGCGACCAACACAAATTTTTACGTCCCCGAGATTCGAAGCTAGGACCCTTAACCCAGTATTAGGCAACACGATGGCAACAATACAACTACTTAAATTAAGCACAAACTTAATATAATGTAGTGTTTGAAAACTTCATTATTTTTTACATGTTATTGGACATGAAGGCACTATATAATTTAAAAATTTAAAATAAATTGAAAAAAAAATTCGACTCGATTGGTAGAGCAACAGCACGAAACGCTGACGATGCCGGTTCAAGTCCTGTCCGAGTCGAAAATTTTTTCAATTTTCAAACTTAAATATTTTTCACATGTTTTTGTCTCCCCGCGGCCACGGCTGCTGCAAAGCATCCGAAACGTCGGGCCAAATTTAAAAATAATTTTCAAATATGTTTAACTAATATAGATCGCGTTTTAAACCGTTAAAGTGTTTTATTTACATGTGTACTACTAATGTAAACTACAGACAGTAATCGATTTAAGATTAAAAAGAAAATACCGTCACTAACCTAATAAAACTAACCTTGCCTGTCTTACGACGTCGATGACATGTATAAGACGTAAATTAAAAAAAACAAAGCCAAGCGCTATATTTAAAACATCGTAAGTGAATTCGTCCAATTGATTGTACTTCCTGAAACATTTCTATGGAGTAGAGGAGAGGAGATGCAGGCTTCAACGGCGTCGCCTTAACAACTGTCAGACGTGACTGTCCTCCGACCCAGCTTGATTTGTTCGCGTCTAGTTCGTTGAAATGTAAATCGACGTTAAGGCTACGTGTCTACGCAATCTCTTGTATCGACCTGGTGTTATGTTGCTCATGTAAAGAGAAAATAAACCTTTTTAAATCTTGTAATAGAGAAGGATAGACAAGCGTTTTTGCACCTAACATCAAGTGGATTGTTGTTAGGTGTAACTCTTCATATCTTTGGATATTCGGAATAAAACACGTTAACATGCGAAATATATTACTTAGTGGTAGTTAAAATAAATCCTGCATACGTAACAACAGCTAATATATTTCGCGTTCTAAACCGTTATTTTTTAATGGTTACGCTACTTTTATTGTGTTATTGATATTTGATAAACAGCACATAATATTGTACATATATTGGCACATCAGATGGTGGAGGATGGTGGTGACAATGAGAAAAACAATATAAATAAACAACTATATCATGAACATTACAAAGGCATAGATTATCACATCAGAACTGACACCTTTCATCCTAATCCGGTGGATCTTAGCGATATATTAAATTGAGATAAAAGAGGATTTAGACAAGTCATGATTAACTGGGAACAATGTGCTTATTTTATATATAATGTGTGTTAATTTAATACAATAATGATATATCTGTCGTCACATCACACACGTTTCGCTTGCTTCACATATTTCATTAATAAAACATTTTGTACTGTTTAAAATCTGAAGTGAATTAATCGACTACACAAATTGTCAACAAGTGCGTTTATATAATGACATCGAATAAAACATTTTAAACTGTTTAAAACGTTACCTATAAATAAAGGGTTTTAATAATGATATTGAATTAGACAAGTGTAACGGTTTAAAACGCGAACTATGTTAGTTAAGTTTATAGAAAAATGATCTTAAGTTATATTAATAGCAATGCAAGCAACCGTCTATATATACTAAGTAAAATTGTTATAAAAATGTTTTAAGCGAAATGATATCCCAAACCACTGTCCTAGATGAAAAGGACGTGAAGTTTAATCGCGTTTCAGTCCCAGGATTTTCGAATATCCAAAGCCAAATAGATCGACAACACATCTTATGTACATGAATCCGAAGCTTGTTTAGTCCTTTATCAAAAGAGCAACAGACTATCAAAATAAGATAAGCCCTTCTTTCGCTTAGATCATAAACTAGGGCACAGTAACAAAATTATTATATCGTCCTCAGATACTAACCGACATTAAGGACGCAATATTGATCGGAACTGGCCGTTAAAATGCCTCACTTTTGTCCGAGAACCATCAAACGGCCTATAAAGTGGAGTATTATGGTTCTTGTCGATGTTGTAAATCACTACTACTATTTATTAGTAAGCAAGGTGGAGTTCCTTTGTGGGGCGTTTTACAGACACGACCAGCCTTCTGTATTTTACCATACAGACTGAGCAAAGCACATTCAAAAGACAACTTCTTATTTAGTTGTCAGTAAGTCAGTGACGCATTTTTTTATTATTTAATTTCTTTAAATCATTAATTACTTATTAATTATTATTAGTTTTTATTATATATGAACTTTAGGTATGTAATGCTGTACGAATTTAATGAAATAAATACAGACTCAAATTTTCTATGTTGCCCTGAGATTCGAACTGAGGATCTCTCATTATTTACAACTGAAATGTTGATAAAAAGCGGCGTAAGATTTAAAAATCCAAGATAAATTGAAAAAAATTTTGCTACGGAGTCCTATATAAACAGCACGGAATGCTAACGGTGCCGGTTCAAGTCCTACCCGAGTCGAAATTTTTTTTTAAATTGTTAATTGCCATCATGTGCAATAGCATGTTTCAACAGTTTTCAAAAGTGGCTTAAGATTCAAAAAAAATAACGGTTTAGAACGCGAAATATAATACTTCACTTATTCACAATTTATTTTAACTAAGTATTATATAGTGGCTGGGGTGAATTTTACTTACATCTAGTATTAAGCTTGTCTGTTTCTCTTAATAAAACAACATTAACAAAGTTTAAATTTAAGATTTTTCCTGAAATTAGTGCCTTTAAATGAACAACACACAATTACGTAGATGCAAGTAGACACGTCGTACCTAATATATTTCTTTTAATTAAATATCATTATTAACTGCGACCCGACGTTTCGTTTTCAAAAAAGTTGAACTAACTATCGCGTTTCAAACCGTTAAAGTGTTATAATTAAATGTGTACTACTCGCGTAAACTAAGTAAGTTTAATATGGAATGCCCCCTCCAATCTATATAGTGTATGGACTTGTAAAATTATCTTTACATCCCGCCCCTAACGACAGATACAGTCAATCGAGTACACGTTAAATTTTCAGTCGGATTGCAATCGGATCGAATCAACATACGATCCAATCAAGTGGGCGCTGACTAAATCCCGATTGCTGGATTGAGTCCCGTCACCTCCGCTGTGCATGCTAATGTTATCTGCCATTGTATGCGATCCGCCACAGACTATGCGATGCGGATTACGAACAGAACATTTATTGCGGTATACGATTTAAAATACAGAGGTCGCTGGTAGCAATTATAATTACATTCAGGCTTAAAAGCCTTGTTGCCGAGCCATTCAATCTTACCAAAAAGTATTCGTGTTAAATCTTCGCGTCAAGAGTCGTTTTTTGATAAAAATTAGACCTCATTTGGTCTATATGACTTAAGGGAGAATTTTAACATACGTTGTAAGTGAAATTCAGTCTCGACCGATGGGCCATGGGGCAAACACATTTCTGTGTCTGTTTGACTGATCGGTTTTGCAGGCTAGTAGTTGATCAGACTTGTGTGCTCTTTCCACCGAAACAGTCTATTGTGCCACTGAAATTCCATCCCAGGACCTTCAGTACTTAACGCCGTGGTCGGCAACACGTTTAACCAATTAATTAATTTTCCCCGTTTTTACCACATTTCTCGCTGTTTCTCCGCTCCTGATAGTCACAGTGCGATCTTATTTTCTTTCCTCGATAAATGCTCTAACCAACACAAAAAAAAATTGCGTTGATTAAGAAACAAACAAACAAACTCTTCAGCTTTATATATTACTATAGATGGGACTAACCCGCTATTAGTATATATGATAACGCTGATATAATGAGGAAACATTTTATTTTCATATAGAGACAAAAACAATAATTTGTAAGTGACGGAAGTAGACACAGACCGACTTGACGACACTTCTGGCAAAAACAACGCAAATCGCCGGAGACACGAGCCAGAAACCACATTTCCTTCGCTGTTTGACGTTGGCAATTGTAATTGTTTGATACATTTCTGCTTCTGTTTCGCGCATGATACACTAGTAGAAGAAAAATAATTGGAAATCTTTAATATTTTTCACAAATTTCCAAAGATAAATTAAAAATCGATTATAAATTAAAAAAAAACTACAACTCGGGCATGACATTAACCGGCATGCTCAGCGTAATGTTGCTCTAACCAATTTAGCTACCGTGTTAGAGCAACAGCACAAAACGCTGAGGTACCTTTTCTAGTTCTGCCCAACTCGTATTTTTTTTTAATGTAATATATGTATCGGAATATCATTGATCGTCGCTAGAGTTAAAACTATAAATTTGGCAAGATTGTTGATTAAATACTGTCTATAGTTTACGCGAGTAGTACACATTTAAATAAAACACTTTAACGGTTTAAAACGCGATATATTATTTAAACTTATTTGAAAATGTCTCCCCGTGACCACGGCTGCTGCAAAGCATCCGAAACGTCGGGCCGAAGTTAAAAATCATTTTCAAATAAGTTTAACTAATATATCGCGTTTTAAACCGTTAAAGTGTTTTATTTAAAAGATTGTTGATGTAATGGTATCAATGTATGGCTAATTATCAATGGGCCGTAATTTCGATCGCCACCGGGCCAACGTATTCTTAATAAAACTAGGAATCTGAGTGGTAGGAATATTGTTTGTGCGGTTCATGAAACCGCCGTCCACTAATAAAAAGAATAGAATTCTAAAAAATTCAAAGACAATAAGGCCGACGGCGCATATTGTTAAAGCCATGTGAATCCTATGCTTCCTTATACTGCTCTATTGTAAAAATATAAATATATTAAAAACATATAATTTGTCTTACAGCTTACAAATAACAATCTATTAATGTATAGGATGAGAATAAAAAATTAATTTAATTAAAGGACTTTAATTAATAGAAATAAATTTATAATTTCTATTATACTGTAAGTTTTAAGCGTTTGTTTGATCAATATTGTCTACTAAACATGTAAATATAAACCTAGTTAAATTTACTAGAGGCGGGCGATTATGAGATATACTAACGAAATCTTTCGTGTTCGTCGTTACTAACACTAGTAAAAGAGGTGGGTCGATTATGAGATATACTAACGAAATCATTCGAATGAAATGTTAGTCGTTACTAACACTAGTAAGAAGAGGTGGGTCGATTATGAGATATACTAACGAAATCATTCGATTATGAAAATGTCTCGAGATATCTCGATTATAGCGGTTAGTAGTTACTAATATGTACTGGACGTTAACTAAGTAAAATAAGTAAACAAAACAAAGTACACCAGTATATAAAAGTATCTATTATTGTTAAAACAACTAAATTCAAGGAGTGCACGTTTAGTATTACTAATTAGTAACATCATTCGATTATGAAAACAAATTAGTTACTAATGCCATAATCGATTACCGACATTAGTAATACAAAATAAATCGATTATGACGATCATTCATAATCGCGCACCTCTGAAATTTACCAGAAAAATAAAATATTTATTTAATTACAGGAAAGCTGTCAAAACTACATCCGAGTCCTAGTGTCTCTGGGCACTGGTAGATTGCTAATCTGTGGGACGAACAGCTTCAAGCCAGTGTGCAGAGAGTATGGGGTCCAGCGGGACTCCTACCACATGGAGAAGGAGAAATCGGGACAAGCGGTCTGCCCCTATGACCCAGAACATAATTCCACGGCGGTTTATGCAGGTAAGAAAAACATTGATAAAGACAGTTTTAATATATAACAAAAATTCAAAACTAAATTATAAACGAAGAAATAATTAAATTATTATTATTATTAATAAAATGCATGTGACATTACTGTAGGTACACTTAAAATGTACAACGCCCATACTATCATATCATAATATAAGTATTGTCTGTGGTTTACTCAACTATATTTAAATAAACCCCTTTTAACCGTTTAAAACGCGAAGTATATGAAACTTAAATAAACGTAGTTAAAATAATTTGTAATAACGTTTTACTAATATATCCCGTGTTGAACCGTTAAATGTGTTTTATTTCATGTGTACTACTCGCGTAAACTACAGACAGTATTTAATGGTAACATTATTGTAATCTGCAAGTAGGTCGTACATATTCAAATAGACCTTTTTAATTCAAAAACCAAATACAAAAAAAAAAGTATCCAAAAAGTTTTGTGCAGTGAGTTTTAATTGTATTTTGACATAACTATTCAAATTTTATTTTATTTATGGCCCGACGTCTTGAATGTATCTTAATTCATAATATATTATTGGAAAAATACATGTATAAATTATATTTTGTCATAAACAACGTTATTAGTACAATAAAATTAAAAAGTTAAAGTCAAAAATTATTTATTCATGCAGGTACACGTATGAACGTCACAATACTAAAGAATCTAACTTTACATTTACTACCAGTTCTCAAATCATAGGCGTAGAACGAACGAGAAGAACTGGCAAAAAACTCGCCGTCACTCCTTTTATCGCCAAGTTTCATTTTACATTCCTTAATGTACTTTTAAGCCACATTAGCATAGCATTTTTATCTTGTAAATATTACCCATTATAATGCGTAGGACCGTTTACGATTCAGTGAAATTTTCCGCTCAATATGGTTTTCACAATTGAAAATAGTTTGAAGTTACAACATACAAGCCTCGTAAAATATATCGAATGCGGAAAATGCGTTATTTCATACTTCACAACGGACTTGGAGATTTCACAAGATTGCTGCAAACAATGCGATCTCTTATGCGAATTTCATGGAAAAAGGCGCTCTAAGAGATCTGCGTTGAAATGTATTCTAAGTCAACTTGGAAATAGGCGATATTGCCTATCGCTGGTTTAACATTTATTTTAAATTTCACTCTAGTTTAAAATCTTATCCAAACGTTTAAATTACACTAAGGACGACACGTGTTACAAATCTTAAACAGCAACAAGAACTGCCTGTCGTTTCCGCGAGTAGTACACATTTAGATAAAACATCTTTGACAATTAAATAAAACACTTTAACGGTATAAAACGCGATATATTTTAGTTAAACTTGTTGAAAATTATTTTTAACTACGGCCCGACGTTTCTGTTGCTTTGCAGCAGTCGAAACGTCGGTTACTACTCGCGTAACAGTGTAAAACCCAAAAAGTATTAAATAAAAAAATGCAATTAAGTTCACCTTATAAAATTTGCGTTTTAAACCGTTAAGGATGTTTAGTTTAAAGAGTAATAAAGCCATTTTTATCCTGAAGACTTAATAAAAATACTTCAAATACTGTCTGTAGTATCTACACATTTCAATAAAACACTTTAACGGTTTAAAACACGAATATATTAGTCAAACTTATTAGATTGGTTTGTGAGTAAGTTGAACTAAACACTTTAAGTGTTTTAAAACGCCAAATACTTTAGGTCGTATAAAGTATTAAGTATTTCTGGTTCGAAACCGTTAAATATGTTAAATTATATTTTTATATTATCATACGGCATCTATATTAATTGATCACTAATCCTTAAATAGAATACACGAGATACAAAACACGGCGCATGGCATTCGAAAAGTCACATGGCCCATAACACAAGTTAACGATGGCATTATCTGCCAGCTAATCCATTTCCGGGGAATCATTCATTTGGCGATTTGTCCCGTTCCGTTCGGCCCATTCCGGGAGAATAAGCCGGGAATGAATGGCCAAAAACAAACAGGTCAGCATGATTAACGCCGACGTACGGCGGCTCAGAAACACCATTCAATCTTATGCACATATACCTTTCACGGGAGCCCGTTTAGAAACTGTAAAATGGCGGGTAGATAACTTTTATGATCTCACTTTTCATCAATTTCTCTCGGTATGTAGGTTGCAGCTTTTTAGATTTCTGCATTGAAAACAGCGTGCTGTATGCCGGCGTAAACGGTTTGAAGTTCGAATTTGGAATGTTGAAAAGTGCGGGTAGAATGGAAAATGCAAAGGGGAGTTAGGCATTTGTTTTAGTCAATCGTTTAGTAGATTACTAAAATGATTAATAACGTGTGAATTGAAAGAATACAATTTCTCATTTCCACCAAGTGATTAGAAGACAGTATCCATGGCGCAATAACATTGCCTAGCAGTCCACTAAACGAGGGGCTTTGAACCCTGGCATAAAATGTATTCAGTCAGCCAGACCATATTAATCTAATTTACTTAAAGATTATTGTTCAGTTCAATAGATACTCTTTTTCCCCATGCCCCACATAGGCTGACGAAATTTCACTCAGTCTCAGACAGGATGGCAGAATATATTTTTTTTTTATTAATGTCTATAGAAATCTACTAATTTTATTTATCTCCTTGTTCAATTCTATTGTAGTACTCTAATCCGACCTGCAGTTTTAATATAAAATTTAATCAAACTTCGGTTTTAAAATAAAGCACATTTAACGGTTTGCAACGTGAAAAATAAAAATAGTTAATATAAACCCCACCTTTTTGAGTCTTTGCAGCGGATCGTGGTCACGGTGAAGTTTTATCACTTATTTAAATTTATCTATCCAATCTTTTATATACGTCATACATACTTAACAAATTTTGGTCATTATATATTATTAATTAATACTCATTTGAGAGCTATTTTTGGAGAATTAATACATAGTTAAAACAAAGTCGCTTCTTCTGTCCCTATATACGCTTTAATCTTTTAAGAGAAGGTTTTTATATACAACGTTCACAGCCTGTAGTGTATCAGCATTGCGCCCGAGCGAAGCCGGGGCGGGTCGCTAGTGGAATATAAAAAGAATAATGCAAAAAAGCAAGTGTCCCAAGCCCCAAAACGGTTAACTATGTATCAAGAATAGCAGACAAAGAGAGCTTTTAAACTCCGACACATGTGCTATTCAATCGCTTGTTAGAAAATTAGGAAAAATGGAAATCTTTTTCATCGATTGAACCCACTTTCACAGTCTGCTGGCGTACAATGGCCACTCATTGTTGCCTGATAGACCCTTGAGGGTGATGCATAGCATATTTTACATCTACCTTCATATACGTGACTAGACAATGAAACTCAAGAACGCTTATTGATGTATATAACAGTTTAAAGAACCTTCGAGTACCGTCTGTAGTTTACGCGGGTAGTACACATTTAAATAACTTTTAACGGTTTAAAACTTGAAATGTATACGTTCAGTGATTGACTTTGCAGCAGCCATGTTTAGTGTAAAACTATCGCAAACTTGTAATTTTTTTGTTAATTCTTTTTGTTAATTAGAGTAATAATTTATCAATAAATTGTAAAATGTAAAATGACGTGTAGGATACGGTAGCTCAATTGGTTAGAGCAACAGGACGGGACGCTGTCGATGTCGGTTCAAATCTTGCCCGTGTTAAGTACTGACCGTGCTCAAAGAATGTTCTTTATTACATATGCCATTAAAATTATTATCCGTTTAAAATTACGACTGGTTGCAAGATGTTGAACCATGCTTATAAATAGAAAACGTAGATGTAACAAACAATGAGGTTGCTAGAGGCAGAGTGGCCTAATAACAAAAAAGCATTTCACTTTCAATAAGGAAGAAAATAAAAATGCGCAATCAACCCAAATGAAAATGAATTTGTACAATTAATGTGTTATATAGATTAACATTTTTAGACTATGAAAGTATAAATAAGTAAATTGCAGTTAGGTTACTCTGCCTCTACCGGCACTAATATTCAAAGGGAATATGGCGTAAACGAAATCCGCATAACGTTACCAAGACACGAGAACGGCACCGTCGTAAATGCGGGAGGAAAATCCCTGCGTATTTACTCAACTCGTTTTTATGTGTATGTTCCCTATCGTTTTTATGTGTATGTGTGTGCAGGTACAGCGATAATCCTGAACAAACAAACATAATTCTCTCCCCCACTCACCTTTGTGAAGCACTCGTACGTAAGAACACGTTAGCTTATTTATTTGCGAGATGGTTTTGTTCATGTGGAACGTCAATATAAGTAACAAGTAGTTACAGGTACAGGTAACATACAGTGACTTTTGAAAACATATATATGTTGGCACTACGTAAATTAAAAACCGATTATAAATAAAACAATGTCTCGGGCAGGACTTGAATCAGCACCGCGTTCCGTGCTGTTGCTAACCATTCGATATACAATTCCTACATGTCATCGTCGCATTTTTAACGTATTGCTCGCGCATGTATTATGTAATTTCAACTTTAACACAACTTCCTGACTTTCTAGAAAAATTAACTGATAGAATTACTTTAAATTTTCATGATGTTCGAATTTATACACCCCTTTAGGGGATGAGAAAAATGATTAGATAAGGGTTCGTGTTATGCCGATAGCACTTTTTTTTAACGCGCTAAACTCAGGAACTACGGTTTCAAAATGAAAAATTATTTTTGTGTTAGTTAGAGCATTTATAGGAAGGCTATATTTAAATAAAACACTTTAACGATTTAAAACGCGGTATATTAGTTAAACTTATTTGAAAATGTTTTTTTACTTCGGCCCGGCGTTTCGGCTGCTGCATTTTATTTAAATGTGTAAACTATAGACAGGAAGGCTATAGGCATAATATTTTCTTTAAATTGAATTTCCTACTACTGGATAGACATGGATACACAATTGTCTATCGGTCGAGCATCCCTCCCCAGTCTAAATACGTCATGCAACGCAACTGTACATCATCAATTATTCCTTTGTCCCTTAGTCCAATTTTCTTTGCGTTAACTCATCCCCTTGCAAATTCCACAATCATTTATCACATCAAGAGTCTACGAAAGATCTTTTATATAAAACGTATAATCTTGTCAGACGGGCTGTCAAAGAATTATTATGAAATTTGAGAGCGTACGTAATAGAACGGGGTCAAAGTTTCATGAGAAAAACAAAAGATAGTTTGTGTCACTTGTATTTCGTAATTGGGATAAAACTATGTATGACTTTAAAATATAATATTTAATAACCACCTAACTTATTAGTATTACTGAAAAATTGGATTCAGTTGATTTCATACAAAAAAGGCCAAGATTTATTAGATATTCATGTAGGAAGGTAGGTATACTTATGGACGTCACATCTGTTAAAAAGACAAGACTAAACAATACTCGCAACACCAGAACGCAACGAATATAGTAAAAAATATGAAAATACTAGAAATCTGAGGATAGTTTTTTATTTATTTATTTAAGAAACAAACATAACAAAAACACCAATCGAATACAGATTTATAGTAAGAATAAAGTATTTAATTAAAATAAAACCTTTAACGGTTTAAAACGCGATATATTAGTTAGACTTATTTGGAAATGATTATTATATTATATAATATGCGTGCCTAGACGTTCCCCTCTTAGTTAAAATAAGCAAACGTCGGGCAAAAAACAATTAAATCCGCCCACAAGCAAACGTTCCCGAAAGTGACATTAATGGAATTTCGTTTTATATTGTTAAAATAAATTGTCTGAGAAAACATTGCAACTCGACAAAACTGTAAAATCACCTGTAAATTCCGCAAATAACTAGGCTGTTTTATTTAGTATATATCGCGTTTTAAACCGTTAAAGTGATTTATTTAAACGTGTAATCGCGTAAACTACAGACGCAATTAACGACACATCTTGATAAAACAGTAAAATCACTTCTGGAACCCGCAATTGAGTCCATATATCAGAATGGAGTCTATTAAATGTATTATTAAAACACAAACAGAGTGAAGCAGACGTCCATTAGCACCGCTATGGTTAGTTATCCACTATTGATCGGTCCAATTAAGCCGAGAGGCCCCCACGGGAACCGACCGGTCTTAGCTCAATGTGTAACTTGATACATACTGCAATAATTCCAGCTAAACTCTATTTTCAAACTAAATTTCGTTAATACCTTTTTAAACTTTGCTGATTCAAATAACGTTACAACGACTGTTAGTTTCAGTTTTGTAGTCACCAACCTCAATAACTTATAGTCCTTAATGAATCACTTTTCAAAAAACTTATTTGACATTATTTAAACTATGGCCCGACGTTTCTGACACGTTTCTGTTTTGAACCGGTTAAAACTCGCGTAAAGTACAGACAGAATATAGTCCTCGGTTTATTTATTTAACTATTTTTTTTTTGTTCCAACTAACCCCATTACAATAGGTGGTATTGTATACCACCACAACAAACATTGTATTTTGTAATATAAGAATGAATAGAATGTGTGAAATAGTAAATCGCGGACATTTTTTCAGATTATTTAATGAGGAATCATTCCTATATACATATTTTTTGGGTGTCTGGAACCGTTTTCACAGCGAACTCATCAAAAACCCACAGCGATGAAATATTTCCCCCTTCGCTTCTATTAGTCACAGCGCGATATAATAGCCTATAGCCTCCCTCGATAAATGCTCTAACACAAAAAAAACATCAATTCGATACCGTAGTTCCTGAGAGTAACGTGTTCAAAAAAACAAACTCTTCAGCTTCATTATATTCTATTCTTGGGAATTTAGTACTGAAATATACAATTTGAGCATCGTAGTCTAGTAGCTATTAAATATTATATCGTGTTACACAATACGCTGTACTCAGATAACGCCACTTACGTCGTTGACATTGCTCTAATGCATTTCAACATTATGTGCATGTTATTGTATTATGTACAGTTTAATTCATAACTACTTTGCACAGTAAGCAATTGCGATGTATAGACTTAGGACAGACTTAGTTCTGTGTCTGTTCACTGAAAGATTTACTTTATTGGCCATTATAAGGAGATAAGATTAGTTGTTTCCTTGCGAGTCGAACAAAGGACATTATGTATAATGCGTAGAAAAGTTGCAACAGCACAGAACGCTGACGATGCCGGTTCAAGTCCTGCCCGAGTCGTTATTTTTTTCAAATTATAATAGATGTCTGTAGTATACATTTAAATACGTTTTAAACCGTTAAAGTGTTTTATTTCAATAGATTTTTAATAATTACCAATATTATTTTCACATTATATACATACGTAAATAATATTGCATAAATACTTATAGGAGTATCACTTTAAAAAAAACACAAGTAAAATTAATTCGGTTTAAACGTTAAAGTTCTATTTAAATATTTGCATTTGTTTTGTATATCTGTTGTTTATTGGTGTACTCTTTTTTAACCGGTGAACTATTTTGTGTTAACCTCTAAGTTGGATGGTTTTGTTACGATAGAAGACGCACAAGCGTGATGTTCAGTTGATGGTATTGGGAACACAGACAAGGTAGCCACACAACATGTGCACAAGACAGGCTGTCGACCTATTTTTGCTTTGTAGACTCTAAGATAAACCCATAACGCGATAAAACGTCACGCCTTTTTATCAGCATGATCTCCGATGCCTACCATCATTTAATATCCAGATTACCAGGCGAAGTTTCTGAAAAAAAAAAATAGATTAAACACATTAGATTCGATTGGGGTCGAAGCCAAGACATGTTTATTATAAGCCTTTATTATACATTGTCCCCGTCAGAACAACGAGTTCGCTATCTATTAAATAATATAGATCGCGTTTTAAACTGTTTAAATTTGCGTTCAGATAACCGGAGCTTACACGAGAGCGAGCATTTATTAAGATTACACCTCTAATTCCGAAATATTGGGCAGCTATTACTGCAAAGCCCCGACACTGCAATGCGGTACGGTGCAGGGTACACTCGCCTCAATATGGCTAGCAATGAATCAAATACGAGCGCACTATTTTGATATTTACTGCAACACAATACGGCACACAATTGAATGAAGCGCTTACCCTTCAGCACCGGCTGTAGGCTGTAACGGAGAGTATTGACGAAACGCATTTTTTCTATTCTAGTGATAAAATGGCGCTGTTCATTTTAGGCTTTGAACTATGTTTGGAAATGGTTCAAAAGTTATTTCAATAAAACACTTTACGGTTTAAAACGCGATCGTCGGGCGAAACGTCGGGCCGAAGTTAAATATCATTTTCAAATAAGTTTAACTAATATATCGCGTTTTAAACCGTTAAAGTGTTTTATTTAAATGCGTACTACTCCCGAAAACTATAGAAGTTTTCGGGAGTTGTCCACATTTGAATAAAATCAGTATTAAATTTTAATACTGATTCTTTGAAACCTGCAAACCAGTACGGGTCGTCAGTTCCCATCATAAGTAAACTTACTCAAGTCTCCATGCGGATAGAAATCTGCTAAAAAATGTATGTTACACGGCCCACTCGCTGATTCTAATGGGTACACTATTGGGAATTTATCCTCCTAAGGTAGTCAATAATTTTGCCATTTAGCCAGAAAAGAGATATATACCCTAATCTTATGCTAGACAATTTGTTCTAAAGCTTGCCTCACAAGGTTGTCTGGACGAAATCGCCACAGGCGATAAGGCCGCCTTTGCACAAACATGTTTTATTTTGTATATATAAGTCTATATATCTGTTTGTGCAATAAAGAGTTTGTTTATTATTAACCATAATTTATCATTATTAATTTGGTGCACAACCCAGTAACAAACTCCTGACCTTATCAATGAGACCAATTGTTAACTAGACCAGTTCTCCCATGTTATGTAAGTTCAATACGAATATTGAACAGTTAAAATCCAATAATTGAATCGGCGAAAACGGTAATACAGTGTAACAAGGGAACGAGCTTGCGTGACCAGCATATCGCTAGGTAATTAGTATTCAGTGCTATTTTAAGCCCTACAGAATTAACGACTAATGCAATTATATTAACAACTACCCTCCCGATACGATTAGTTAAAGCTATACTTATTATAATGAGATTGAGTCTGCGTACGATTTTGTGCACAGTGCTGTTACTGATCGATTGTATAGTCTATTAGATGATCAGATTTCTATGCCCTGATAAAAGAAAATCATTGTTGTCCCCAGATAACGAATCCGGGACTGAAGCTCGGTTTGAGTGCAGATAATCTACATTTTGTTATTTATTATTTAAACGTAAATAACTAGTTGGTGTATACATTTTTAGATTACCTTGTTCATCCGTCTATATCAGGGCAAAGCTATGCTTCTTATAGCTTGTATTACACAAAAGCTAGTTATTTATCTGGCAAGCCGCTGATGAGTGATATCTTTAACGTTTGTTTAATTTTAAATCTATGAATTATAATTATTATAACTTCCACATGTATATATAACACATTTCATGACTAACTGATTAACTGATTGCAAGTTTTTTTGTTTATATCTAAAAAATACAATGAATTTCAAATAAAAAACTTTAAAACGCTCGTAGTTAAAATAAGCTAGCTCATAAATTCCGCGTTTGACACTCACAGAACTGTTTTATTTAAACGTGTACAAGCGTTAGCTAGACTCTAGGAAATTTTTACTTTAAAACGTGACTTTTACAATTATCTAATAATTAATACAAAACTCTATTCGATAAACTAGATTTTCAATTTATATACTTCTGTCTTATTTATTTTCAATTGATCATATAGGAACTGCGTAAGCTCATTCTATGATTTTTCCTTTCAGACGCCGAGCTGTACTCTGGCACGGTGGCAGACTTCAGTGGAATGGAACCTATCATATACCGTGAACCACTTCAAACGGAGCCCTACGATTCCATGACGTTGAACGGTAATCGATCTTCATATATTTCACACGTACAGCCAAATCGATTTGGAGACGTTCTTGCGTGTGCAGTAGTTTTTGTGTTGTGAGCGAGTGATACCGGTTCGAACTGGCTTTTACCGGTTTCACTCATTGTGTATACACCGTACTACTACTGACGCAAAATCGCCAACGAGCAACTGCGCATGATTTTAAATCATATATTAGTTTCTTTAATATGCAATACTTTTAGGCGCTTGAATATTATTTATTAATTCTTAAAGACTTATAAACAAAATATAACATAACTTAGAGACAAACACACATTGCTTATTTAGGACAAAGAAACATACAAGAGTAAACGTTAAATATAACTGTCTAAAAATGTAGTTTAATTTAAATTGATTGAAATAATTTTACTCGTTTGTCTATAAAATATAAGCGCCCTTGTGTAGATGTTATGTGGCTGAAATATTTCACTTTTCGTGAAGTGAACCCCACGCTGTTCGCTACTCTACCATCATAAAAAATCTCTTTTCATAACAGCTATCACCAAAAAAAGTCATATAAATTCGTATTCAATTCCCTCATTCCAGAATTCGGCCATTAAACACGCAGTTTACACAAGCCAAGTGAAATATTGTTCACTCTTTTTGCAAATTTTAAATTGCTCGCAACTCGATACATACCGAATTCCAATTTTATGTAAATAAGTGGAAAGTTGGAATTTTTATTACACGTTCGCGACTCGCGTTAAAATCCCTGGGTCCATAATTGGCTATAATTATGAAATGCCCTTTCTATACCTGCTTTTCTGGATGTTGCATGTCTAAAAATTAAAATAACAATTATGGTAATTAAAGAACTACAAATGATTTTCAGCGTATTTTGAAGGTAAAACATTCTTTAGAACCATTTAGTGTAAATTATAGTAAAAACAAAGTCGCTTTGTCTGCCCCTATGTACGCTTAAATCTTTAAAATTACGCAACGGAGTTTGATGCGGTTTTTTAATAATATTGTTCAGAGGAAGGTTTTTATAAACAACGTTCAGAGTTTTTCTGTAGTGTATTTTGTATAATCATTGCACCCGAGTGAAGCCGGAGCGGGTAGCTAGTAAGAAATAAGGCGGTCAAGTGAGAATCGAAGTCACATAAAGTATTCCTGCCATAACAATTTACAAATTGATACGTTTTTACTGTTGTTATCCATTTAATTTTATTTCACAAAAGATGCTTTCTTTAAAAGTGTATTGTTTTCGGCCGTTTTTTAACAGCTATCTCCTTAACGACTACGAGAAGTAGAATGTGTGCATTTATTAAAAATTAAGCAAAATTTTTGGTCAAACAGCAGTCTCTAAATTAGTATTTTATATCGCCATCACAGTGGAAACACACATTTTTTATATAAGAAATTTTTAATTCTTCGGGTATTCAGGATTCTGAAATACAGCTTTGAGATAGACAGACAGTTAAAACTTACTTGAGTTCCATTTTGAACTTTAGTCATTGTAACCCTTAGAAAATTTTTTATTAATTGTCGATTTTGATATTTTAAATTTGGAACAATGGAACACAACAGAGTGAATAATGCTGCGCATAAAATATAATTGAAAAATTCTTTGTCAAAACAGTATCGAAACAGTCCGCAAATAGTCGCAGAATTTCAATGTATCCGGCACGAAATACGCAAATATATTGATTTTAACGAAATGGGCAACGCTACCTGTTTCTATTATTCCCGATTCAGTGGTTACGGTAATATAATATTCTATTCATGAAAACATAAATAGAACGAAATACATTGAATTATCGGAGTGGAATGGCTAATTAAAAATCAAAGAACTCTCTCTAGTGATACAATATTAATTGGAAAAACGAATAATGAGAGAGAATACGCATTTTTATTTGTGTTGGACTATTGGGACGTGTTCTCTTCTATGATAGTAGTATAAATATTAAATATATTAGAATCCACTATAAATAATACTTAATTCTAGATTACTCTTCTAATCTAACTAAATAACAATGTTATGGAATTTTATACACCTAAATATCAAAATGAAGATTTGAAATTATTGGACCTAAATATTGAGATTTTTATGAATGCTAACGAAGTTCATCGTAGGCTGAAATGGCTGTGAAAACGACCATCTTAAAACACTTTAATAATAATGTATAAAAAGGTGACTTGTAGCCGTATTCATACCCGGCTCGAAGGACCACTTTGTTTTGTCCTTAATGGATGTTTGAAGTATTTCAATATTCAAATCCTGAATATTAAATAACATCAATTAAACATCAATTCAATAATATCTACTTCAAAATTCCGTCAAAACAAAGCGTCGGTCTGGGCTTTAGTCAGCTTTGGTCCGACCCAGCTGTCACTGTGACATTTGACGCGGCAAATCGATAAACAGGATTAGTCTCGTATTGAAATTATCGACGTCAGCTATAGGGTTACAGCCTTAATCATGCTGTTTAACCAAAGCATTAGTAAGGTGTCTTTAGACTAATTGTATTACTGTAATTACAGCGCCCGATTTCGTGAACTCCCTTGTACATGGCAACTTCGTGTACTTTTTCTTTCGGGAGACGGCGGTGGAATATATTAACTGTGGGAAGGTAAGGTTTTTACTTTTACAAAAATATGGTGACTTAATTTCCGTCGGGTCCAAAACTGGCAATTCATATGAGATTTTGTTTTGGATCCAGCGTGTGGAAAATCTTTACAATGGGTATGAAATAATGGGAATATCAAAATACCTCACAAATGGAAAAAGATGTACATATGAGTTCCAGTATCATTCTGTAGATTTCCGGAACGAAGCCTATATAGATGACCATGGCCATTTCACCTCTTGAAGTTAACCCCTGTCTGTCCGTAAATACCAAGGTGTGAATTAAAGCCATTCAAAAATGTACTGGCAGGATTATTGACGTTTTTTGTAAAACAAGCATCGCAGTGACAAGTTAATTAGCGAGGGTAGTTTGTTATTTGCTATTAGTTTTTTTTGTATTAATTACTCAAGTACTCTAATTGGCTGTTTAGGATTTGGAAAATAGAAGGGTTTATAATTTACTGTAATTAACTGTGACGAATAATTCAATTCACCGTGTAATAATTTTAATAGATTTATTTTGACATAACGATAATGATAATTATAATTCTTTTTCATTTATCATTAATGATTCCGCTATTTATAGATGTAACCTACATACTATTTAGTTTTGTCTACTTGACATATCTTTTTTTAATATTAATGACAGTTATTTCGTTCATAAATTAATACCAGCCAGGCTTAAAAAGATTTTTAATGCATTATAAGTTTGCATCGTCGATGTTTCGAATAGAATCTCTATTTGATTTACCAGGCCATAAAATATTTAAGAAAATGTCTCCTTGACATAATATATATTTTTAAATATTAATGACAGTTATTCCTATGAAAGACAGAGTAATACCAGCCAGTCTTAAAAAGAATTTCGAAATTCGAATGCCGATGGTTCGAATGTAATGCCTCCCGGCGATCTTTTTTACGTAGACACTTGAATAGTAACAATGAGTCTCTGAATTTCAGTCGGTGTTCTCTCGCGTGGCGCGCGTGTGCCGAGACGACAGGGGGGGGCCCCACCGGTTCAAGCAGCGCTGGACTTCCTTCCTCAAGTCGCGACTGAATTGCTCCGTCGCTGGAGATTTCCCGTTTTATTTTAACGAGATACGTAAGTGTTCCTTTTTTATTCCATTCCAAAAAGCACAAGTATTTTACATTGTTCCGAGCGACGTAATTAAAATGTGGAGCAAATTTTGTGATAGAATCCGAGGGGTTGCACTCTGCATTTCATATAACTATTGAATTTAGTGTTTCAGTGATCTTGTATTTTGATACATATAGCTTTTGAACCCCTATAGCGTTTAAAAATTTCGTTTCGAATACTACTTTATTCAGCTTAAAATGAACATAACTTGCTTTTTTCATAACACTGAACTATTATAAGTTAATAAATAAAATTTGCACGTCATAAAACCACAGCCAATATAGGTCGATAGCGATTGTTGTTTAGTTGTTATATGGCTGAAGTATTCACCTACCATTGTGCTATGTTTAAATTTCAGAATCCACGACAGAACTGATAGAAGGTGTATACGGAGGTCTGAACGCCCAGCTAATATACGGTACATTCACGACTCCACCGAACAGCATATCTGGTAGTGCTGTCTGCGCGTTCAGCATGCAGGATATTGCTGATACCTTCGAGGGTACCTTCAAAGAGCAGAGCGCTATCAACTCCAATTGGCTTCCAGTTAATAGTGCTAAGGTATATGACATGATATAGAAGCACGACTTAAATTTTGTGTTCGTTATTATTTAACATTTTTAAAAAATGATCAAGTTTAGCCTAGTCTGTAGTTTACGCGAGCGGTCCATTTTAAATAAAACACTTTAATATCCCCTCTGTAGCCAGGGCCGCTGCATAGCGTCCAAAGCATCTGACCATTAAAAATTAAGTGTTTTAAACTGTTAAAAATGTTTCGTTCTAACAAATATTGTAATGGTTAGAAGAGAGAAGAAGTCAAATAAATAGTTAATTCTACTCTTTAAAGAACTGAATTTTAGTTTATTAAATATAAATATTAAATTAAATACGTCTATAGTTTTCGCGAGTTGTTTCCCTTTTTATAAAACCCTGTAACTATATTAAAGTTGAATGTTTTATTTTTAGTTTTTGTCTATTATTTAGTTAACAGTTATTTCGACCGAAAGTTACTGTTGATACAAGGTGTGTATGATTTAAGTGGAAATAGTATAGGTGAACTTCCGGGATCAATTAAACGCAGTTCATGAAATGCACCCGTTATTATAAACATAAATTCCATACAACGTAGCTAATTTAGAAAATACTATTTTGGCAAAAATATCGTTGCATGACGTTGGAAAAGCCGTTTGTGTCTTAATATTTTGACGACTGCAAACTTTTGAAAATTAATTTCATATAAAACGATATACACATCTATGTATGTTACATTATAAATACCTAATAATATTGTAAACATGACTTGATTTTCTTGACTTTCTGACTTATATATTTTGATATTCCACAGGTTCCAGAACCCAGGCCAGGCACTTGCCACAACGATTCCAGGCAGTTACCAGATCAAACGCTAAATTTCATTAAAACTCACGCGCTTATGGACGAATCTGTCCCGGCGTTCTTTGGAGAGCCTATCGTTATTAGAACTAGTTTTCAGTAAGTAAAACTTATATATAATTAACACTTGTTCAAGTGACGTCACTGTTTCTATTATAAATTGAAGTGCTAATCACATTAGATGCGCAAGCGCCGTTAATTAGCTTCAATAGAGAATTATCATTGTTAAATACTGTAGCTTACGCGGGTAGTACACATTAAAATGAATTTCTTTAACGGCTTAAAACGCAAAACGTATTAAATAACTTTCACTAATATATTTCGCGTTTGAAACTGTTATAGTGTATTATTAACCTCATTGTTTGTTAGCATTTTTATGGCTAAATAATCTTCAGTTCGTGGCTTCAATTCCGATGATGTTTCTAATCGAATTGTTATTTTCCTAATACATATTGAACTACTTCTGGAAATGTGAGCAGAAAATGGGTGCGGTAATATCGAAATTGTAGACAGATGACCGTGACACGTACTGCCGTTCACAGAAAAGCCGTAAAGGGGTTTTAATTCCGTTTCTGTTTCAGAATATCTCAGTGTCCGAAGCAAAATTATGTCTATCCTCTGTCATAAAAAATGTACTTGCTGAATTGTATCCTCCATTTATACATACCTAATAATTGTGTATTTATTTTTTTAATTATAATATAGTTCAATAATTTCTTAAGAGTTTTTATTATTATTCTTTAATGTGACCATTCTTTTAAAAGGCCATTCTGATAACAGCACTTTATATTACAGCTACCGGTTTACGCAGATCGCTGTAGACCCTCAAGTGAAGACACCCGGCGGGAAAGCGTATGATGTTCTTTTTATTGGCACAGGTAATTCTTCTTTCCATTCTCTTTTCTCTGCTCCCAGGACAAGCAGGCTTAATTAAAAGTGGTTTTTGGATTGCAAAAGATTAATACGAACGCGCAGGACTTGCACAGATTCAAGTACCGCCGGTGTCATGAATATTTTTAAATCAAAAATCGATTTTTAATTTAACTTGTGCCAACATGTGAAAAATATTAAGGTTTTCAAAGTAAGGTAATGTCTTGTATTGTATCAAGATACACAAAAATTTCATTAACAAACATTTATTTAAGAATGGGTTGTATTAACGGTTTAAAACGTGAAATATAGCAATTTAAAAATTTTAATTGCGTACCGACTTTCTAATGTTTCGTAGCAGTCGCGAGTGTTAAATATTGAATGAGTTAACTTTGAAGGGAACGCCTCTGTAGCCAAAACGTGTTGCATTGCAATAAGCGCGAGAGTTCCTCAATTCAAATACCGGGGAAACAACAGATTGTTTCGATCGGACAGGGCACAGTCTGATCAACTACTTGCCGTTTAATAGGACACAAAAATGTTTCCGCCCAATTCCACTACGTGAAACGCGATTTTACCTAACTTAGTGTCGTACAATTAAATACTGTCTGTACGCAAGTAGTACACATTTAAATAAAACATTTTAACGGTTTAAAACGCAATATAATATTCAAATAGTTAAATGTATTTGGAAATTATTTAAACTATCTGACGCTTCGGATGCTTTGCAGCAGCCGTGGTCACGGGGAGACAAAGATAATTTCCAAATGAGTTTAACTAATATATATTGCGTTTTAAACCGTTTAAGTGTTTTCATTTAAAGTGTAGAACTATGATGAAAATTGTCTCTAACTTTCCACAGATAACGGCAAGATCATTAAAGCGATAAACGCTGTTTCGTACGACACGAATAAACGCGCTGCTCCCGTGGTTATTGAGGAGTTGCAGGCTTTCGGAGCTGGTTCCCCCGTGAGGGCCCTGAGGGTGGCCAGAGCTGGCCGTGATGCTGCAAGGCTGATCGCTGTATCGGATAAGGAAGTTCTTAGTTTGAGGCTGCATCGGTGTTCTAGTGACAAGATTAGTTCTTGTTCGTAAGTATTTTAATTACTATTAGTTATTATTTCACATTATTTATTACACTTTACCGAACTTCAGCTAGAGGGAGCAGACTGAAAAACAGCGCTGTGCGATTGATTTTGTGGATTAAAAAAAAAATATCTTTCGTCTTTCTTTCAACTATGTAATTAAATAAGCAATGGAATATCTTAAAATAAAAATATTGAAGAATAATATTAAGTAAAGTCCATAGTTTATGTGAGCACGCCTTAAATAAAACATATTTAATGGTTTAAAACGCGAAATATTAACTTTATTATTTCGACTACGATTCTATAAATACATTACGCGTTTTAAACGTTCAAAATGTTTTCCTTAAATAAAATACTTGAAAATAGTCAAAAGATCTGGTCTGAGGTTAAGATTTGACAATTTGAATAACCATGAAATCTGGTCCGTAGCCAAGCCAAGCGTTTTTTAAGTGGGTTGTTATACGTTTTCTTACAGGGAATGTGTGGCCCTCCAAGATCCGTACTGTGCGTGGGATAAGCAGGCCGGTCGGTGCCGGGCCTACTCCCATGGTGTCAGCAGATGGCTTGATGAGAACTCCTTCTACCAGAGCGTCAGCACTGGGAGTCATGCTGCATGTCCACACAGTAAGTATCACTATAATTTAAACGGTAGGCAACGTCGTGTAATATACATTCGCGTTCCGATTGAAGTTGATTTCTTGAATGTCAAAACAGGTCGACAATGCATCTTAGATGTGATCCCATTGCTTCCTTGGCAATGTACCTATGTGTTTTCGAGGATGTTCCCAGTCGTTTTCATGAAAAAATAGTATTGAGAATATCTTGCCGTATATGTATAAGAATGTCACCCTCCTATTTACCCCAATAACTGACATAGTTACTAATACATTAATTTTAATGTTTCCCCCTTACGTAACTGTTATTAAAAAAAGTCTGTCTAACAGACGAACATGATGATTTTGCTGAAAATATTTTTATTGTAGTTACTTGTATTTCTTTTTAACATTGTAATAATATATGCTAAAAAAAGAGATTTATTATTATTATTATAATTTTGTTAGTTTAAATTAATGAATTGTTATCCTTAAAGAACCCCCCCCCCCCATAGGTATATTTTAGGTATTTTTAACATTTTCTCTCTTCAATTGCAGGCAAGGATGCTGGTGCAGTTGGTGGTCTCAGTTCAGGTCTTTATGATGATGCTAGAGAGAATAAAGGAGAGGTCATTAACATTGTGCAAGACAAGGAAGGAAAAGGGGGGAACAATAATAATGAAGGTAACTTAGGATTATTAAGATTGTATAATTCTGGTAGCTCATGCATTATTTGATCTTAAAGAAGAAGAAAATAGGACTTTATATTAGTATTTGAGAAACGAAATTTCACACAGTTTTGCCTTAGGAAAGAATTCATTTATTCTAATGTTAGTTTAAGTTAAGAACTTAAGAAATAAAGTAATCTATTTGGCCATGGAATATCTCAGAAAGTTGATACATATACTACAGGTCCAGAAGTTTTAGCAGCCGACCCGCCACCAGCAGCATATTCAGTCGAAACTCTAGCTCTAGCAGTAGCTGCAGGAGCACTTGCTGCTCTCGGGGCAGGTTTCGCTGCGGGGTATATCTGTGGACGACGTTGCAAGAAGGATGATGACGACAACATGCCGTACCCTGATACGGAGTATGAATATTTTGAACAACGTCAGAATATTAATAGGTGAGTTATCTAATATAAAATGATTGTGTACTATCAATACTTATATGATTAGGTATTCTTAAGTGATGCGTAGGGACGTTCTTGTTTGATTAATGTTACTAAGTGAACAGTTAGTTCTTGTTGGACCTTTTGCGCTTTACTCAATACTATAGTCATTGTATTGTTGGTGGTTCCTTCTATGCCTGCATAACATGGTAAAATTATAGCTATTTGACAGTATGATTTTTTTATGTATCCTCTATTTGGTAAAAATATTGAAAAGCATAAATTCTAGATCGTTTGAAAATTTCGAAACTTTTAGCAGTCATTAAATCAACCCTATAGGATTTAAATCTAGAAGTATTTATTGTTGACCTTGACGGATACAATATATCTTAATTTAAGTAACATATTATAAACTGTTAAGTGGAAATGCTTAATACTAATACCTTATGTCTACCAGGATCCAAGCAGAGCCAAAGCTCCTCCAACAAGTAGAGGAAGTGACGTACGCAGAGCCAGTCCTCGCGCCGCAGCCGAAGCCGGCCTCGCCACGAGCCACGCTCCGCAAGCACCCCCCCTATCACCCCCACCACGAGACTCTTTTCCAGTTCCAACCGGACGCGTACCGTCGCGACAATTTTGGAACCCTCCGCTCGCATCAGGTCAATGTCAGTTGGGCTCCTTTTTTCTATCGCATGGCTTGTTCACGTGGCTATAAGTACTGGCGCGAGTTGACTAACACATAAGAGTTTTTCAAGGACACCAATGATTTTAGCCTTTTTCATAAAAGTCTTGGATAAGTCATAAGATTGTTATTAGTACGAGTGTCATTATGTATTTTAATAAAGCAGGGATGAAGTATCAAAAAAAAACCCGATCGGTGACAGTCATTGCTCATACATATAAAAAAAAGTAGTACATACATTTTACCTGTAAACTACTTTTAAAATTTGACCACTTCAAGTGGTATTCTAATGGTAACAATGAATCGGTTGTAATCAAAGGTTCCTATCCCCACCGGATTTAACATATTTCAAATCACTTTATAATTTTTGGTTATTAACCGATCCATCGTCCACGTTCGAAATGCCTTGAAGTTCAATCTAGTTTAGATTTCAGTCGTAGATTCCATCTGTAGATTCCGAATGTACCTGTAACTTACCTGCCAGCGAATGAACTCCATGATTTTCTGTCTACTACCATCATAAAAAAAGTATTTATGGCCATGTACACATTATTTACTGAATCATATTAAAAATGTGATAATCTTGTAATTACAAATTTCACATTGCATTGTCATTACTTATATTATTAACAAAGATTATCATATTTTTCTTATAACACTTGCACCTGTTCAATGTCGTCGTTGCTTACACTTGAATCACGTTTTACAACCAATACAGCAATCATAACGACTATTGCTGATTTAAATAATTTCAACGTTCACTTCATTCATAATCATTACCAGCTTTCATTAATCATGCAAGTAACATATTAACAATTGCTTTCATTTGGGGCTACAGAAAGCTTTATACTTCGGACTAAGGTTTTATAAACTTCGAACAAAGATTCTGTAAGAGTAACACCTTTTTAAAACTGGAAATAAAGACTAAGTAGTAGCAAGTGTCCGGAAGTAAAAAGCTGGCTGTAGGTGCTTTTCATCACTAACGCCTCATTAATTTCATTTTTCTGCGGCATGTCAGTTAACGCAGGAATATTCGGACCGCAGGGCGATGGGTACCGGCGCGGGAACGACAACGGTTTCTCGACCACGCGCTCAGTGAAAAAAGTGTATCTCTGAGAAACAAGCGGGGCGGATTCGCGCGACCAGATGCATCATCATAAACATGCCGCGCACCACCATCACACCTTGGGTGAGTACGATAAAAACATTTTTTTTAACGGTTTAAAACACGAAATATATTATTTTAACTACGTGCCGACGTGTTGGAGCTTTGCGGTACGATACACTTCAGATCTACTGTCATATACCCATTATTTAGATTACATATAACACACAACAACTCCACCATGCTATATAATAAAAAAGTATATGCTTCCAGGCTTATAAAGTGAAAAAGTGGTATTCTTGAAGTGATTATTTACTATGGGAGGGTAAATCTCCTTTGTTACTTAGCGAGCTACGGTACCAGGTCGTATATTGTCTTGAAGGTTTTACATAGATTAGGTTTATCATTACGTTTGACGGGATAATACTTTCGTAATCGTAGTAGAATTTTTACATTCGCAAAAGCCCAATATCTGACCTATATCAGCTTGATGGAAATGCAGCTACTATGTTTTACAAGCTCATGTGGATAGGTAGTATTGGGGTAGGTATTAAAATTTTCTTTGAAACTTACCATGTATTTAGGATACGTACACGATAGTTTACGGTACAGTCAATAACAAAAGACAAAACCAAATTCCAGTGTCGCAGCGCAGCAGCGGATCGGGATCGGGCAGTGGCAGTGGGTCTTCGTCGTCCCCGTCGCCCCCGTCCTCGTCCCCGTCGCCGTCGGGCGAGCGGCCCCCAACCCCGCCGCCGCCCGCGCCTCAAGCCTGCGCCTACATCTACCGCAACTAGCGTGCCAACTCGCGCGAACCACTCGCCCCGCCTCCACTCGTACACTCCAAACGAGCCACGAACGTGTCCCAAAATACTGGAACACATGGAACGCTCGGACGTTCCAAATTCAAAAGACATTCCACGATGGTGCGTGATTGTTATTCCGACATTGTTATTCCAATGGACCGCGTAGACGAGCACTTTGTCTCGTCGCTATTCGATTCTCAGCCTTATTGTTACGTGTCAAAGTTGATATCTATCCCACTCATCGTATCCATGTAAATATAACCACGATTGTTATATCGCCGGACCGAGCTCACACAATACGAGCCTACTTAGACTGTGTCTAAAAATGTACCTTACGACTAACGTTCGGTAGGTCGGTATCACATCTCTTATTCTACCAACATGTCTAAATGAGAGTGTATTTTTATTAAAACGAATATCGTTCGACTTACGACGGCTACTGTAACTTTGTAGATTGTTTAGAATATGCATAGTTTACTTATATTTTAGGTAAATTGTAAGTTTTGTTGGTAACATGTTGATATATAGTGTGTATAAGTGAGTCATTGCAAGTTTCCTTTGATTTAATAATATGTATTTTGATATCTGTCAATGACTTCTCGAGAAAGGTGCAATGGAATCACAAATCGCTTTTCTATTACTATTCTAGAGTAAGTTAAGTACGTTTCGGTTTATACAGTGTTTTGGAAAGAAAGTAGAAAGGTTTTGATGGTGATATACTTAGAAACATCTGACGGTATAACTAGTTCTTTCTAAAACACCGGTATAGTAATATAAGTTGACAACACACTTGACCTCATGTTGCATTTAAATACAATAAAATATACGAGTATATCTGTATATTAACGTACTAATTATATTTGATGCAACATGAGGACGTAACGATAGATTCGCATAAGTCAACTGCCAACATTGCTGCAACGAAATTAACCAATCATAGATAAGTGTTGTCAAATTATATAAGTTTACGCCAAGTAAACGCAGATATATAAAAATTCAAATATATACTGTACAAATACTGTAAAGTCCTGATAATCATTCGTAATTAAAGTGCTTCTTATGGATGTATCTAGTTATAGATTAGAAACGTTTTGACTATTCAGTAATGTTATAGATTTAGATTCTAGACTAGGGCGAAAGCATTAAGCGAACGCCACTTTAGATTGTTGGTACGTGATTTTGTAAAAAAAACAATCACTGTGATCAATCGATCTGTGTACATACATTCTATGACGTATGGTTAAGACACGCCGCCATTTTGTTACAAATTGACACGAAATGTCGACGCATAACCTAACATAACCTATAAAATATACGATTCTAAATGTTAACCATAATTGTGGGCCAAACGTATTAATTTCATTTACGAGACGTTCCTGTTGCTGTTTTATAGTTAAAGAACATAGGCTTTCGACACTAGCTAGGAATAGTGGTCGGTCTTCACTGTTTGTTGACAATTGAGTGTATGTAAAAAAATGTCAATTCTATTTGTAATGATCTAGTGCCTAAGTGTGTGTGGCAGGATAGTGGCTCGAGATCTAGCGACGATAGTGTTTCAGATATTAAAATCTAGAATGAATGAATCTAGAAAGAATTAAAAATACAATGGTTGTTGTCAATCGAGAGATAGCATACGATCTAATCTCATTGACCCAGAAACATAATACCATCTTTATACCTACAATTTAAAAAAAGCGAGTAGATATTTTCAACATTAGCGCCTATATAACGCTATATTTGGATCACATTATTAATGGTAAAAGGTCAAAAAAAAATATTTCGTAAATACCCTGCAAATGTCGCTAGATCTATGTAAATATTTGGTGCATTACGATTATCAGCATTTTCTTTTGGACTGACTTAGTGAGCAGTAGTTTAGATGCACTATAGATAATAAATTAAATGTCTTCAATGATTTTGCGTGAATTTGTGAACATGGATAAAAATTCATGCAGAACATTGGAGATAAAATAAATTTTCTACATAGAGTCGTTGCTGTTTGATCACACGAACATTAACATCTAATAAAACTTCAGAAGCATTAAGTCGATTCTCGAATAAGTGATATAAGCTTAAATCCTTTGTATCATTGGCGCCTTACATCACTTAGTTAAGAATTGGTCCCCGGGATTTATCTTTTATTAAGACATTTAGGTACATTATATGTTTTGCGAGCTCCCTCGCAAAGCTCCTCACTTACTCATAAATAACGTTACTCCTATCTCTTCTTACAGACCACTTACTTCCTCTATCGTTAATCAGATTTAATTGTGTACGAATGACATCTTGCTACTAATCGTGGTGAAACTCTATGTAGAAGATTTTGAAACTAATGCTTATTCAAATACATTTAATATTACCGATAAAGTGGAATGGCATTCTAAAACCTTAATACTGTAATCACAATACTCACCTTTATATAATTACGTTAACATACCAAAGACGCCATTTTAAGATAATATAATAATTTATTTCTAGTAGTAAATTATGTATTGATAACGTTACTTTTATATAAATGTAAACTGCCAATTTTCATATTTGATATTAAAACGCACAGTGAGTTTTTTTTAATCATAGCTGCTTTTATATCGGCGTTATACGAGTTTCTACGAATTTTAAAAAAGGAACGCGTTAGGTAGAGAATCGAATGTGCTTTTTAAAATTCAAAGAAATGCTTAGACTACGTTTTAAGTTAAGTAAGCTGTTTAATTTTAATGTATATAGCGAGATCTGCAATTGGATCGGATAATTAATACTAAGCGTTAGTGATAAGCGCAAAATTTCGAGAACGGATTGTTAAGAGTTGTTTTGTAATAATAAAATGATGAAATGTACAATAACCATTTCTACGTTCAAATAACTGAACCACCTTTTATACTATACATGGACATGCCTAGAAGTCTTATATTGTAATGTATAGGCGTAAATTATTTATTACTACCGGAAAATATATTAGAAAAGTATAATACGTACGTAGTTATAGACCGCTTAATTTTTGTTTTGAGACTCGAAGCCTTAGTGTTAGAAATTGAAGACTTTTATTATAAACTAAATGAATTGTAATTACAGAGGACTCCATTTCGAGGGGTCCCAATCTTTTTAATGTAAAGGCGATGATAGCATGTTTACATAACATTTATCTCAAATTAATCATCACATACGTTCTCATTGAAAAGTATATTTAATTTATTATTATTTAATTTTTAGTCGGTGATTTGATACTTGTTAATAGATAAATAAATAACATAATCTACCTCGAAGAACGAAAACCTAACATACATATTTCGCGAAGGTAGTTCTAAAAAGTGTTTTTAAAAACACTACTCAAATATGATGACGCATACAGTCAAATTTGTTTGACAATTGCCGCGTACCTATTAGTTTCGGGCAGGGCATATAAGTCTGTAGTTAAAGCTGTTTTAAACAAACACTTGCAACGGTTTGAAACGCAACATGTACTATTTGCCTTATTCTTAACTAGGATTCTACATTAAAGAAGCATGCTGAAAAGCATCTGTAACGTCGTGTGGTAGTTAAAATAAGTTAACTTCTATATTTTACGATAAAACAGTGTTACAGACACTGAAATACGTCTGCCCCATACCCCAGGAAGAAAAAAAATGTAACCATTTATAATCAGATTAATTATTAGTAATTTTTAACAGTTATTAAATCACCGATGATCAACTATTTTTTTGTACGCGTGTGCAATATTTTTCTACTCGTCTCATTCGACGTATTGTGAATAAAAGTTTGGAAAATGCAGTACTATTAAAGTGCCTAAGTAATTTTCATTGCAACTGTAGAAACTAAATCCACACTAAATCCCTCTCCGAACGGCCTTAGTCAGTTTTTTTAGCGTGCCTTTAGCCATAACTAGTTACCGATTGTTATGGTAACGATTGTATGTATTGCTATTTCATTCAATCCTTTGACGATGAGCGATACGGATATATCTATAAAACTCCCACATTGACGACACACAAAAGACGAGAAGACACGATGACAGTTGAAGGTAGTTTGTAAAATGTAAATTTTTAGTTTTCGAACTCATATTATATATATAACTTGGCCAAGTACCAATCGAAAACGCAAGTTTTCCGATGCGTCTACTGAAACAATGTACTAATGAAGCCATGCACGGACAAATAACGATGCATATGGCGAAAGAAAGACGAACAAGCGAGTATTGTCGTTAGTTAAGTCAACTTGTCGTCGTTCGCATCGTCCATATTTGTGGTCAAAATCATTTATATACGTAACCACGTTCACTTTGAACAGTTTTAAGAACCAAATTCTCAAATCAAGGGCGTAGTACGAACGAGAAGAACTGGCAAGAAACTCGCCGCTACTCCTTTTATCGCCAAGTTCTATTTTAAAGTTACCTACATCTTTTTCCTTGTTAGAGGAATGTTGAAACTTATTTATTGACAAAGCTTACACTTTACTGGGGATTTATTAAAAAAATTTTAAAAGAATGATTACTTTATAGGATTCTGGTACACTAATTATGTAAACGTCTATTGTACCGATGTAAACTGCCGTTCGTTTCATGGAATAAGAAACTTTTTAATAGAGTACATAGAGGTATATCCAATCGTTACCAGAACAGAGTTAAATCTTTTAATAATGTATTTTATATTCTGTTTAATCAACGCTAATTTCTATCATACCCTTAGTTAAGATTTGAATTCTGGTCCATCTACATTGCTTGTCTTATTTGCGTACTCCGGAAGCCATTTTGTCTTCAGTCAGACATATAGGAATAAGCTCATGTAAATTCACTATTTAACTAACAATTCTTATGTTTATCTTGATTTTAAGATTCAGAAGAAATGTAATTATAATTATAATAGTTAATTTTCGTACTCATGAAACAACTATGTAAATTCAATATTTAGATAGAAAAAAAATACTGTTGCTATCGGCTAATTGATTGCAGCAGCAGCACGGAAACAGCAGTACTTTTTTTTCTAAATCTGACGCTGATATTTTGTTTTGTACACGGTAATTGAGTAAAAATGGTACGTGTCTTAATTTGAGGAGGACAGCGCGGGGTTCACATGACAGATAGGACATACCCTAGTCAAATAAGATCTAAACAAGAAGTGCTAAAGACCTATTATGGCTATATTTTATCGTTTTACCACTATCAATATCCACTGCAATATTCTCATAAATATCTATTGTTCCTTCACTATATCCATAATTATTCAATTATAGTCTAAGAGCTAACTCGTTGATAGCAATATCTCAGTGAAAATCGATACAGTACGCAAACAAGACATCGTGTAGCCCACGCCTTAGACACTCCGTAGATTAAGTAGGGGTATATAATGCAGAAGCCAATGCAGTGGATAGACTGTTACACCATATTCGCTGCTCATATTTATAGAGTGCAATTTTTATAACTAGAAACAAATAGAACGAACAATGATAAGTGAAATACAAAATGCACTGCCTAACTATTGTCAAGGTTTTGTATTTTCCTCTTCATCGTTTCAAATGTTATGATCATTTTCTCATTAAAATATTATTAATATATGCTAAATATTTTAGCAAAGGATAAAATGTATTCCTTTTCTTTAGTAAATAAAATATTGAAACTTGGGTATATCTTTTATTTCTTGGTGTTCCTGCTTACAATAATGACTCACGACTTATTTTCGTGATAAAAATGAAAGCTATTTAGTATTGTTGAGAATTTACTATAACATATCATTAAATTAATGATATCGGCTACAACCCTTATTTTCTAATTGTTCTATCCTTGTATGTTGTAGACATAGAAAAACGGTTTCGTAACTTATAGAGATATAAGTTACGAAACCGTTTTTCTTATTAAGTTGACTATTAACTTAACATAAAATGATTTTAGACTTCCATTTTATCTATATTATAGAGAGACTCCATAGCGGTGTAAACGTTGCCCAGCGCAAAAGACAAGTTTCAAATTAGTACCTACAGTACAAAAATAGTTTTATAATAAGGCTCTGATAAATTACTTCCCTGTAGATAAGAATCGCTTATTGAAACACATATGTGTTTGCCCTACACCCGAAATAAGGAATTAAGTAGTTACTGGCAGAATCTATTAAAAAAAAATAAACCATAAAACTAAGATGAAAAAATCGTTACTGTCTATTTCCTACGCATATCTCTCGATGCTAACTTTTATTTTATGTTTTTAGCAAGTTCCTTTTTTGCACTTTATTCGTATACAAAAGTAAAAATATCGTTTAGAGAAAACGGTCTATTAGAATTAAAAACTAATTACATTAAAAAATATTTATATTTATTTAGACAGATTATGATAGATATACTTAATACTATTTTAACAATTAGAACGAAATACCTTGTATCCTGGCTAAATTTAACAAAATTAAACTGTCAGTGTCAAAAACATGTGTTTACTCATCAATGTCAAAGGAGCTGATGTCTGATTTTGTTTCTAAATAATTTGAATAAACATTCTACAATTAAGGATAGCTTTTATATAAGATATAAAGTTTTTTTTAAATAATAAAACAATTTGAAATGGCAAGTTTTCATAGCTGCCACTCAATAAACTTTAAAAGTATTATCATAGACGAAATAGCCCTAAACGGATTGGAAGGTATAGGCCTTGATTACTTGTGGAAACGCGTAGGGCATCGCCTTTCTTGCATCCTAACGCCGAAAATAATTACAAAATTTTGGAGCTTTATACTATCTACAAAATGTGTGTCCTTCTATAAACTCACTACACCTTTGCCGAAACTGAAAATTTACGATCGGTTTACAATAGTCGATGAAGAATCTGGACAGTTACTGGAACCAGTAAGTAAGAAATAATAATTTTTAACTATATAATATCTATACACTTACACGTTATCAATAGTAATCATAATCTCTTTTTTATGCTAAGACAAGTTTGGGTTTCCCTTAATATCAGGTACAATACTCCAACCATGTATCATCTCAACAAGATGGGCTGTCGAGCTATTTTGGCTTCAGATATTTGAAAATCCACAGAGTGAAACCGAAACACGATTAAACTTTACTCTTTTTCATCTGTAGACCCTGTGTCTGTAACCTGTATGGAATTTTAATACTCCTACCACCCATTTAATATTCAGATTTCCAGTGAGAGTTGGTCTCTCACTGGAAATCTGGATGTTTTAAAAAAAATATACATTGATTAGAAAACTGTTGATGAGGATCGAATCCAAGGCATTGATTATTACTCGTAAATTGCTACTAGTACATCAAAAACCCCTTTTGGTGCAGCAGCCAAAACGTCGGGCCGAAGTTAAAAATAATTTTCAAATAAGTTTAACTATTATATCGCATTTTAAACCGTTAAAGTGTTTTATTAAAATGTGTACAACTCACGTAAACTACAGATAGTATTTAACTACCTTTAGGTATCATATCATATAAAAAAAAATATCTTTATATTCCTTCCAGCCTGAATTACTAGATGGACCATATGAGTACTGTCCTGTAACTGGTGAATATGGATCCTGCTCAAACTATGAGACGAGACTACTCATACCGCACGAATTCATAAGCACCAAAACATATGAAGAAATTGAGAACCTATATGGCGATATGTTGGTTATAGTAGCGTCCCTGGAAGAGAGATGGATAGCGTTGGCCCCACATCTACCGATCACTCTGTTACCACAACTATCACCTATACATTTTTGTATTTTAGAGTTAGTAGGGAAAGGTAGGGAAAATGTAAGTATGATAATATGTTTGAATATTTTTTTCGTTATTGTGTAACTGTATGTCGGTGTATTGTAAGAATTTAATGCACTTGGTTTTGTCATAATACATTCATAATTACTTAAGCTTTATATGCAAGTATATATTTATAAATAGTGCAGATATATAAAATAAAGATACTATAAAAAATAAAATAATTATTAAAACTCTGTATATTATAGAATGATTGCTATTTAGAAGGTAATTCTTTTTATTTCTGGTAGTTATTGCTATGATCAGTAAAGTAATGGCTAAATGAGGCTGCTTGAGGCAGAGTGGCCTATTAACAAAAAAGATGATTGAGGCGAAAATTAAATTGTACTATTGTGTAAGAATTAAAGTAAATTTTTGGGTCATGTATTCATGTAGATTAAGATTTTAGACTATAAAAATATACTTAAATAAGTCAAGTCATACAAAATTGAAGTTAGTTAGGTTGTCCCTCTCCGATCTCGCTGACAACTTAACCACAGCCGTCGAAACCCTCGTCGCTACGCGATCGACCGGCACCGGTGCCGATCGGCCGCAAAACCGCCTACGCCGGCGTAGGCGAGGTCATTCGCTACGCGTACCGCTCACCCGGGTGAGCTTCCGTCCAGCTCCTCAAGCTCCCACCCGCATTGCGGCGGTCCAAGCCGAGGCCGTTGCCCCCCCTCGGGGCACCCTTGGTCTAGCCGCAAACACGGCGAGCGCTCTCGCGCTCACCCAAAACGCCCGGTTAGTATTCGTGGCTCCATAGGAACACAATACGTAATAGTCCATTCAAAAAAAAAAAAAAAAAATAGGTTGTAGCAGTCTCAAATTACCTAAGAAAAAAACCGTTTAAAATGTTTTTATTTCAGGGTCAAATGACAGTAGGCCATAACACCAACCTAAGCAAAATAGTAAAGGAATCGAAACTCCTCTTTTACAATAGAAAGCTCTTACAGAAACTAGATTTGGTAAGAGTACAATGTCTGACACAAGTCTACGCTGACAGGGGCATGAAAAGTTTAATATTACGACTGAAAAAATTCCATCAACCAATAATACAGACTCAACCAAAACATGGTAAAATACATGCAATAGCGGAATACCTGCGACAACAACCCAATTTTACAGAAAAGAATGAGGTATTGATACGCAAGGGATTCATGACTCCGCACCAGAGCAAACGTCTTCAGAAGACTGTCAATATTTTTCGCTATGTAAGTATAACTGTACATTTAAAGTAGCTTTCAAACATTTGACACAAAAGGCTAATACAATTTGTTTCAAGAATGCAGTATGGTGAATAAAAAACTATCACCGTGGTCCAATGGTTAAACACATTAGGGCGTGTTTTTTAGGTGGAATAATAAATAGTTTAATGAAGAAACAAAAAAGATGATTCTATGCTTTTTACTGATATATGTATGTATATAACGTTAGTTTAACTAAAATACTTGTGTTTTTGAAACCCAATAATCGAACTTATTATAAATTAATTGAAAATTAGTTTCTCAGGTTAGACTAGAAATTATTAAAATGTGGAGATTATAACATAAGACTTACATTCTCATGTTGAAACTTATAAGTTGTATAAAAAATGTACAAACAAAAACAATTTAAATATTCTACACTACATTACAGATAGGTGAAGAGAAGAAAAAGAAAAATGTTCAACTCATATCCCAAAGTGATGAATCCTCCCATTCAGAAGATGAAAGTCCAGAAGAACTACTTAAGTGTGAATACAAAGTCGGTGTCAGTCTATTGAGGCAGGCCTATGAAAGATTTCTAGATGCCGGTCTCAAAGGATTGACTCAGTTAGAACTAGCTCAATTACTCGGAGTAGAGTTCTATACAAGTAGGACACTTTGTAGAATTATCAAAACCAAAGGTCTTGTTAGAGAGTTTCTTGAAGACAAAGGTAGACAGAGAACAGCAAGGTAATAATCACTTTTTATTAAAAGTTGAATTGTTTTTGGTGAGATGAGTAAAACATATAAAAGTGTGCCCTTTAAAATTTCTTACATTGTACTGTCTGCTGAAACATGAGAAGTTATGAAAACGAGAGGTTAAGTCTTGAAGATTATTTGCATTTCGGTTCCAAGTTTCAAAAATCCATTTTGAATATCCAAAGCCAAATATGTTATATTGCCCGGGTATTTTTAACTTCCATCATGTGAACATATGTTTGATTGCCATAAATTATATGAGCAATATTTCTTACAGATACATCGCTGTGGCTGCAACAAATGAAATCGATAGCAAATTTGCAGAAGAGAAGAAAAAACTAATCGACTTTCTAAATAAAAGCAGAAAACGATGCCATTCAGAGTCACAATCAGAAGTGCCAGAGAAAAAAGTGAAACAGGAGCTGAAAGATCCAGAGTACGAAGAAAGTGCTGAGAAGGAGTTAGACAGTAAAATAAAGGAGATAAAAGTTATGGATGGTTTCCAAGAGAGAGATAAAGAGTCTCTATTGGATACTAAGAAAAAACCCACTCTACGACAGTTGAGATTCGCAACCGGTATACTAAAAGTGGTCAAAGAACGCGGTTTTGTTACCGGTTACCAGACGCTTTCAAGTTTCGTATCACGGGAAACCGGGGAACCCCCTATGGACACAAAATCCTTGAAGCTAGTCATACAAAAACTGATTACCGATGGGCAACTGAAGATGTATCAACTAAGAGTGCCATATCCTGACAAAGATAGATTTTGGCTGTACATATGCCCGCCGTATGTTAAAAAGACAGATGCCACAATGAATAAATACTATAACGAGATATGCGCGAAGTCCGCACGCAAGTACAAACATCCACACAGGAAAGCACATCGCAACAGACCGTTGACACATTACACCTACCCTCGCTATCTGAAGATACAAAAACTACACGAGCTAATCGTTCATTACGTGTACTTTAGCAATGTTAAGTCTAACTTTACACCGGGGTTCACCTGCCTACATGACATCCTACCTGAAATGACAGTAGAGTTCGCGTTAGGCAACATTTCCTTTATGAGCGAAACGCAGAATTTCTCCAACTTCAAAACCACCGAAGAAGTGTTAGGCCAGAAACTAAGGGTGGCGCCCGATAACGTCAAGAACATAATATTGAGTTCCAGGAGCTTGCACAACTCTATAAAAGGGGGTTTAAAAATGCTCTCCGTTTTGGGCCTCGTGCAGTTGATCAAAGAGCCTTTCTTATGCGCTATGGAAGAAAACGTATACTTAAATTTCGTTATCTACGTCAATAAGAACGCTAAGTTACTAGACACCACTGGCATCTGGCCCAGACCGAATACTAACCACGCTGCTTTAGAGAAATCTTACCATTTCAATAGCTGTAACGATGTTATAAAATATTGGGATGATGTGCAATCAATTGGATTGAATACAACTATTACAGGAGTTAAGCGCGAACGCTACAAATTACTTCATGAACTAAGACTGGAGAGTGAAGTCTTCAAGTATGATGTCGGCATGCGCTTTGGAGACGGTTTGGGTCCTTGCGGCTTCGACTCATCAATATTTGTGGATATACCTCGCTTATGGCGTACTTATTCGAGCAGAAACTTCAAACCGGTAGTGGTTAAGGTCCTCAAATCCAAAATTAAGTACAAGAAGGGTACCACATCCGGGCCGAAGGAGGAGAAAAAGGCAGGACCCAAGAAGAGGAGGCGTCGAGCGAAACGTCCAGAAACGAAGCCGAAACCCAAACCGGAACCGGGGAAGATCGTGCGCAGAAGTAGGGCGACTCGTAGCGAAACTGCTGTGAAATGGTCTAAACTTGATGATCATATCTTGAATATGCTAAAGGTAGCCCTCGCAATCATGAGTCCAGTACCAGGGTCTATAAAGATAAAAAATTTGATAGCCAAAACTCTACTCTCGGCTATCGAGCCGGGCAAAGTGGCATCACTGTGTCACAGGCGTTCCATAACCCTTGAAAGCGATACGAAACTAGCTCATGAAAAGCTCTGCATACTGAACGAGCTCAGACGTCGTCCAAACCTTATAGCCAAGTACGAGGGCCTCTTCAAGGTACTTAGGATCAGGCACTACGCAAACCTTGGAAAGTTCATTAAAGAGGGCAAGTTACCGATGATGGAGCTACTCTGGATCATACTTCGAGTTGCCGAAACCAAACCTTACATACAGGAAATGCCCTGCGTTGCGTCGAACCTAGAAGAGTTCCACAATAAATACACGATAACATCGACCGGGCAGAACGCGCACAACCTCTACAGAGTGTCCGGTACACCGGAACCAGAAATGGCTAGCCTCAAGGAGGGCATCATTCTCACAGTCATGCTATCTTTGGATTCTGAACTGCCCGAGGAGATATCAAAGAAGATCTATTCAATGTTCAAGTTGCACCACGAACATACTTTGCGAAGCGCGATCGAAGAACTGCGAAAGTGCGGCGCTATATCCGCTAGAGAGAAGATTTTCAATAACCATCTCCATAAGGTCAACTTGAACGACATAAGCCAGTCGGCCTATAAAATGTCGTACGTGTATCGAAGGAAGTGGTTGAATCGTTTACTTTCTCACTTTGATGAGAATGTGGCGCTCTTCCTGCACAAAGATGTACCTAAAGATGGTGTGAAGGGATCCTCGGTGATAAATTGCCTTCTACTGGAGATGTATTCCTGTGGCCTGATCGATATAGTATCTGCAACTGTGCCAGCTATCGTCGGGTCAGCTGGATCATTGATACAGGAAGACAAATTGAACATAATTGACATGGAAGCCAGATATACCCTGAAGTCTGGTTTGATCGGTTGGAAGAATTTGTCAAGTTACAAAACGTTTTCTGAATTCTATCAGGATATCGATTTGAAGAATATTATCTCGTTTCTGACTGGGTATGTTTTAATCATATTTACTTTTCAATTAGGTTACAGCAGTTGCTAATGTACAACTCGCTTGTGCTATGGGAAGGTGAATATCAAATCAAAATCAACATCAAATCATTTATTCAACACACAATTTAAAAAATAAAACAAAAATACAATACCTATAAATGAGATGTATGTACAGGGACACAACTCAGTTTTTGTTATTCCTGGAAATTGGCAACACCAATTTTCAGTGATGCCACAGGCTTGACATTTGAAATGAAACAGTATTAGAGTTAGTACAACATAGATCTTTAAACATTTAATATTGTGTTGATAGGTACAAAACAATATTCTTCCCAATGATTTGAATGAAAAATGCTATTAAAAGCTGTTATATTAAATAACTAGTTGTAATAACATTAGATAAACTAATAATTGCATACAGTTTTAATTCTTACAGTGACTTCAATATACTAGATGACATAACAGACGAGAATAACGAGGATGACTTAATTAAGTATTTAAATGAAAAAGAAAGTGAGGGGTGTAGCTTTTCAGAACTTCAGGTAAGGATAAATACGTACATAAACTAAACATTTATTGAGATAGAAATAAATCGATATCGCAGGCGGGACTTGAACCAGCATTCACAGCGCAGTCTCGTTGAATTTCTTCAACCCATTTTTTTTTTAATAATAGGGAAGGACAGACAAGAATGAGGTTTATTTGATGGAAGGTAAAATACCCCAGCTAAATCACATCTAAACAAGATCCGCTGTCGAACTATTATTTTACTTTAGATATTTGGATATTTATAATGCTATGATGTGGAATATTAAGTTTTCAAATATACATAAATTTTTTCTTTAAAAAAATTAAATGTTGCTATTTGGGGATTGTTATTAACGCAATTTACAATTAATTTGTATCTTTTTCTTTTTTTTTCTAGAAACAAACCGGTATGGACAGAATTACGCTCTATGAAAAATTGAAGAAATTCGAAACTGATAAAATAATTATGCGTCTAGGTTACTACGATAACCGTATTCTACTGAAGAAATACGCTAAGCCGTGGCTATTCAAAGTTCAAGATAACCAATACATAATACCTACACCCTGGTTGAACTTAGACGGAAAAATAAGAATGAATATTCTATTCAATTGGGCCAGTGTTGTCATGAACAAAATTTTCGAATGCCCCGGCGCATCTATAGAACTCATGTGTGACGTTTTAGAATACATAACGGTTAGAAGCGTTCAAGACATTCTGGTTTTTCTCGAGAAATGCGGTTGTATAACGCTAAATTGTATCGAAAGCAAAAAGGTCGATTTATTCTCGGATGACATTGAACCGGAATTGCTAGATTACAACTGTTACGAATCCCCGAATCGTATAATTGCTTTTCCGATTAAAAATTGTATAACTAGGTTTTCCTATATCAAACATCAAATTTTAAATGGTATTAAATTCGAATAAACTTTAATTATTTATGGGACGAAATAAATTGTTACGTTATCATTGTATTTTATTCGCTATGTGAAAATGTACCTGCACGTCTCTAGCGGTGAAATTTAGTAGTTGCTTTAAAACTACATTAATCCTCCATAGCTCCATATTCTTTAGATATATCGTAATTATTGATTACACACATAAAACCTTTACCAATACTTCCCCTTATAGATCGATGCTAATAGATAGCACGAAATGTTTATTGCAGCGCTAACGCATGTGCGACAAAAGTGGCGTAACAATAGTAGGTACTAACTGAGATTCGGAAGTCTTTTTTTTATTTGTATCCAAAGACAAAATTATGAAATTAAATAACAAGTCGGCGCTAGTAAATTTCTCCATATAATTTTTTTTTGAACTATCTTCAAAATAGGAATAATATACTGTAAGTATAATGTATATTGTCGAATAGTTTTTATATTAATGTTTTCATTATTGTTTTTTTTAACTTAAAATTTTCATTAAAATTATTAATTTTGATTTGATTAAAAAGACAAACTGGTTATTTTACGAGGCAAGCTGTTTTTAAAAGAAATGCCAAAAAAAATGTCCACGTATAGGGATGATAGCTATAAAAAATAACAATTGAGAGTGCTATTAGGAAAAAGCTGCTATGGATATTCGGAGAAAATAAATAATAATAGATTTCTAATTTTCATACTAAAATAATATTATCTGTCTAGACATCAATAATGCTTTCTATAATCTGTGGTCTAAGCTGTTGGACAGTAAAAAAAATATTTTATAAAAATAAATATTCTTTTACCACATTTGAGTTGAGGAAATGTTATTTCCTAATGATTACTGCTGTATAAAACTTGAAGTATAATCTGTTCCTTCCGATACTATGTTATCTACATTGACAGCGTAAAAACTAAATAGCAACACCGTATACCGATCCTTCATCCACCGGATTTCGCCATTTTTATCGTACAGTGAAAGGAGAATTATAAATTTTGTCAGGCTGGAGGACGAAGGATATTTTGTGAAAAGTGTGTCATATTTAATTTTTTTGTAGTGAGAACGTTTTTTGAAAGACATCTTGGTATAATAGTGTGGCTTTGTTTATTACTAACATTTTGTAGTAGTGCTACATCCTAAATCGGAATAGTGCTCGTTCGTGTGTCGCTTAGCTAATTCAATGGCTATGATATTGAAGTATTAATTTGTTGAGCCACTCGACGTGCTCAGTGTGGGATACTAAAAAGGAAGGGCGCATTGGTCAGACATGAGCAGGCCTCAAGGTGGACGTATTCAAGTCCCGGATGATCTACGAGAAATCTTATTGGAATTCACTATAAGTTACCTGTTAGAGCAGCCGGGGGATGTTATCAACTATGCGGTCGAGTTCTTCACTAGGTTACAAAACAACAGAACCACGACCATAGTCCGTGGCCCGTCAGCGGGCACACCCGACGAGTCTATAATATCAGACGAAGAAGGTACAATTTCTAGTCTATAAATGTATTTTTAAACCCCTTATAATCAGTACTACGTAAAATTATAACTTGATAGCTCAATTCACAATAAAAACTATTTAAAACAAAATTAATTTTTCCAAAATCGTCGTAATTCCAGTCTTCAAACTTTTATAATTTCAAAGCTCTAAATAATTGAACATTTCAATGCTAATCTGTCGTCACTGATGCTAAAGATCTTGACATTGCAAATGGCTAAGCAAAAATAATTTTTAGGCATAATGCCATGGTAATTACCTTCAAAATACATATAAGTTTTTGCTGAAGATAAATAGTATTATTGGGTATAGTTTGATACTAAACCTATATGATAACCTGCATTCAGGGAACAAAATTAAATCAAAACATGGGTTTAGCTCATAGAGGAGTAAGAAAAATAAATTGATTCTAATTGTTTAATGTTTGTTATGTCAAAAACTACTTGGATGCTATTATTTCTACACATCCACAATTTTATTGTATTTTGCTAAACATCCCTTATTCTGTGTCGTAATAAAACAGTAGATTAAATTAGCATATAAAAATGTCTTTAAAACTTTTATTAATAGAGTCATATATGACTTATAAAGTAAAAACTTTACGGAGAAAAGTATCAACTACAATAAAATTGTAATTACGTATATTGTGGTTCAACATTTATTGTTAACCTTTTACATGGCAATAAAAACCACATAAATGTAATATAAAAACAGCTGTTAAAAATTTCTCACAAAGCCGCTATAATAGTTAGGCATAGTGAACTCTTTCGACGTCTGGCACACTGCCATAGTCATTTCATTCAATGATGTGTTGTTTTATACTTTTGGATTCTTTACACATTCTTGTAATGTCTTTATTTTGGATATTCTTTTTAGGGCCGTTGGTCATTAGCATCCTCTGTAGCTCAGTAGGTAATTGTGATGCGCACATAAGTTAGGTAGAACATCCTATCAAGTTTGTCTTGTAAAATTTAATAAAATCGTATTAAACCTAACTAGTTAGCCCATAATCTATCTTTCCCATAAGAAGAATGGGATTTGAAATCATCGATCCATAAAAATATGTAGCTGGACTTCCTTGATAAATTAGATATATACACCTACTCTCTACTACTCTGAATGTGGTTACATATGTCAAAATTATATTTATTTATAATTTTACTAGGTTGTAAAACCTTTTTATTGTAAACTAAAGTTAATATTTAATTTTTTTTAGCACAGATAAAACACTTATTAGAAGGAGAAATTCAAATGACCTATTTACCTATACTTTCTTCAAACATTCAGAATCCTCTGACTGAGACTAGAATTTTGATATCCACATTTTCCTGATTGTGCCTAGCGTATTTTAAAAAGGGCATAAAAGCATTTACCAACATGTTGGAACCAAACCCATGACCAAATAACATGATAATAAGTCAAATATTCAACCAAAAAAAGTAGTTATCACATAGACCCTAAAAGTGGAATATCCCAAAGGTACAATTATAAAATGATTTATGAAGCGTAAAAATTGTGATGTTTACGATTCTCTGATCTAATTTGTGTGTTTGTTTTTTAACCCTTTGAAGTTTTCTGAGTTGAAAGGCCTGGCTTGCATCTTGACATAATATAAATTTTAAAGCTTTGGTTTTGTTATTAATTTAAAAAAATGAAACGCATTCCGAATTTATTGTTCATTTAGCAAATGTTTCTAATAAGCCAATCTATTTGCTGATTCGGAAGAAATATGATACTATTAAAATGTATCTTTAAGTTCCTTCATAAAAGTCATAGTCAAGTAATAAAATCATTACAAAATGCCATTGCCCTTAATTCAAATATAATTACTTTATATTACAGCAAACCAACATTTTTTTTGCTCATGAATCAAAATTAGTTTCATTTAGGCTAAAAACACAAGGCAATAGCATTTTATCTATTCAGACCACACCTTAGTCAGGATAGTGCCTTAAACACAATGTTGATTTTGTATTATCGTCAATCTTTTATTTGTACAAAATAACATTATCAATTTTCAATCAAACCTTTTAAGTAAGGCCATGAAATGTGAGTCTTTAATTTAAAAATCGAAAATATGGTTTAAAAAAATATTATTATTGTTGAATGTTCAATTTAGTGTATCTTTACCAATATACTCTGTGTATAGTGTAAATAATAACTTTAAAACGTCAAACAAGGATCAAATCTCAAGAAGGATTCTGTAACAAGGGATTTTACAGACCCTAGAAGATGGAATAATTTAAGAACATTTTTCTTCAATGATTGGCCTGCATTATTCTAGTAACAAACTGTTGACAGGCATTGATTTGAATTACCTCAAAAACTGGTTCTAAATAGCTAGTTCACTTATGTAACTCACAGAAACCCTGTACGATTTTAATGTTCTCCTTAATTGGGGTTTGTAATTGCAACATACAAGCTATGAGAAATTTCATTCCATATCGTTTCAACGGTTTAGTGATGTTAATAGTACGGATTGTTAGATTAAATCTAGATTTGTATGGTGCCTAAGACAGTGCATAAATCTATTACATCATGCTATTATATCTAATAATCCTCCTATATGTACCCGAATCCGAAGGTCAAGGTTAGTTCAAGTACGAGTAATTTTAAATTTTACTGAAATACACTTTGTCTGATGTAAAACATAGGTATATTATCATTTTATGCGACAATTTTCAGCAGTGCATGGTCTTTCTCACTTTTTTTATTTATTTTGCAAATAACATCAACAACTTTATACAATTTTAGCTGTTACACACGATGTCGTACTCGGTTCTTGCGAGTTAATTCGAAGAGATAGACATATATTGTCGAGTTTTATATTTATATTATTTAAAAAACAGTTATTCATTCTTCCAATTGTATTTTAGGAAGCCCTTTTTTCCACATTTCCCTCTGTTTCTTTGCTTCATATTGGTCGCGTCCTAATGTTTTATACCTATAACCTTTTTCAATTTGATCTGTTCGAGTAGTTCTTGATATTAGCGCGTTCAAACAAACTCTTCAGCTTTATAATATTAGTATATATAAAGGATTGTGATTAGTATTAGAATCTACTATAACGTATGATTATTCGTTTATAAGACACTTAACGAACATAAATACCCAATTCTTAAGGTCTTACTGTAAATTCCTCTCAAACTTATTATACAAGATAACTATTTATGTAGTTAAGTATTTTTAAAATTCGAATGAACTAATTGCGCTGGCCATAAACACAATGTCAGGTGTGTAGTTACAAATTGAATTTGGAATTGTTCGAATAGTCTATGGCCAGTGCTAAATATAATGGCACTATATTGTTCGGTTATTTGCGGGTATTTATTTTCGTTGTAATGGATTCCACGCGCTGTTCTTGTTACAAGTCATGTACTGTATTGTCGCGTGATGTAGTAGATAAGCTTAATATTATGAGCCGCTAGTAGATTGTTTTAACTAGATTTTGCCGGTAATCTAACGGTAGCCTTGTATGGCTTATTACCAACGGGTCATTGGTTCGTTCCCCACTGGATTCGAGATGTTTCTTTTCGCAATTTTTATTTTTTGTAACCCATGTTGGGCCCCGGGTGGGAGTTTGGGTTTTTTTTGGGGTTTTTTTTTTTAAAAACCCCCCCCGGGCGCCCCCCCCCCCCCCCCCGGGGGGGGGGGGGGGGTTTTTTTTTGGGGGGGGGTTTTTTTTTTCCCCCCCCCCCTTTTTTTTTTTTTTTTTGAGCCCGTTTGGGGGGGGGGGGGGGGGGGGGGGGGTTGGGGGTTGTTTTTTTTTTTTTTTTTTTTTTTTTTTTCCCCCCCCCCCCCCCTTTTTTTTTTTTTTTTTTTTTTTTTTTTTTTTTTTTTTTTTTTTTTTTTTTTTTTTTTTTTTTTTTTTTTTTTTTTTTTTTTTTTTTTTTTTTTTGTTTTTTTGGTGGGGGGGGGGGGGGGGGGGGGGGGGGGGGGGGGGCCTCTCCCCCGGGGGGGAAACCCCCCCCCCCCCCCCCCCCCCCGGCGGCGCCCCCCTTTCCTCCCCTTTTTTTTTTTTTTTTTTTTTTTTTTTTTTTTTTTTTTTTTTTTTTTTTTTTTTTTTTTTTTTTTTTTTTCTTTTTTTTTCTTTTTTTTTTTTTTTTTGTTTTTTTTTTTTTTTTTTTTTTTTTTTTTTTTTTTTTTTTTTTTTTTTTTTTTTTTTTTTTTTTTTTTTTTTTTTTTTTCCTCCCCCCTCTTTTTTGTTCTTGGTGGGGGGTTTTTGTGTTTTTTTTTTTCATACTATTTCCATAAGATCATCTATATTTTGATGTCTGTCAAATGTCTTAAGTGGGGTTAAGGAGTTAGAGCTACACTTAAGATGATTACAAAACGTGTTAATCGTCAAATTGCCGCAGCCGTAGGCTTATGAGGGCAAAGGGCTTAATCTATCAAACTGACCAAGTGTGGGTTGGCAAATGACAAGCGTCTAATCTGACATTTGAAATTTAGGAAGTTTTTTTTATAAGAATATTGAATTCTAATAAAAAATATTGAATAGTACTTGACATCTAAATAAAACACTTTGTAACGGTTCAAAACGCCAAATGTATTAGTGAACTTATTTACAAAGTATTCCCCACCTTCCCTTCTTTTTCCGTAACCACGGCCGCTGCAGAAGCATCCTTAACGTCGGGCCGGTATTTCAAATAAATTGTAAATAAGTTAGACCAATACATTTCGCGTTGTAAACCGTTTAAAGTAAACCCCGACAATACTTAGTACTTCACACATAAAAAAGCAGCTTACAAAAGAAGTTCCAGAAGAACCGTTGTAGATTTTCTTTTGTTTTCTTCAACCTGTTTTATGGAAAAATAAAGTAGATATTTGTCTTGCTTGCCTATAGAGCCGCCCGTGGCGCGCTTCAACAATCGCCGGAAGTCCGTGTTCGCGGAGACATATGACCCTGAGGAAGATGACTCCGACGAGGGTGCTCCAGCGGTGTTCCCCAAGTCAGATGCTCAGCGGGCGCGTCTTGCTGAAGCGGTGCGCGGGATATTGCTGTTCCGCTCGTTAGACGCTCAGCAAATGCAGCAGGTAAGATTCGCAAAAAGGGGGCCCCCCGAAAAATCCTGCAAAAAAATAGGGTTGTATCTATAAATATAAACCAAAACTAAAAGTATAATGCTGTTGTTTTACCTAGCGACACAGTAGTTCTAGTAATAAATAGTCAGAGAAAAAATATGGCAGGCGGCAGTGGGTTCGACCCCCACCGTGTCCAATGTATTTCTGATAAATAGTTTTCTGAAACGTGGGCTTCATCTGGAAATCTGGATATTAAATTGGTGGTAGAAATTGTAGTGGACGAACCACCGTCCACAGATAAAAAAGCCTGAAGACTGAATCGCGTTCAAAATCTGTTTTTAGATTTTACACTTTTTGTAAGTATAATTATATTCCATAAAATCCTCGTATTAGTCACAAAATTGCCAGTTGGCATTTGCTCAAATGTATCTTCTAAGCTATCTGGTAACTTTTGAACTCCAACATTTGATCCAATCACGATCATTAAAAGCTCCTAGCTCTATAGGTCAGGTTAGGCACACTGAATTCACTTAGAACCTAGATTTTAGCCTAACGCAATTGACAGAAAAACCATCGCGTATATTAGCTATATGCGTAACAATACTTTGCATTTTCCGTTGGGTGGTCCTCCGGAAACTCCCGCGCAACTCGAAAAAACGTTTAGAAACATTTGGGTTTTTTTTTTTTTGAAAATATCTTTAAATTTTTTGAAAGGTCCCCCCCACACCCATTTTTTTTGGGGTTTTTTTTTTTTCCCCCTTTTTTTTTTTTTTTTTTTTTTTTTTTTTTTTTTATAACTCGATTATACTATATATATGTACTATAAGATACTTACCATAAGACCGCACGTTAATTACGTTTGAACTATGAACACGTGAAAATTTTACAATTACATGATCTGCTTACAAAAAAAGCGTAGATAAGAATTCATGAAAAACATTTAGGTAATGAAATTCGGTGAATAAGTTTTTCTATAGTCTGTAACCTTTAGAAACTATTTGGTCTTTTGATGATTTCTTTTTGGAGGGCATTCATTTTCCTGTAACATTTTACTCAATAACCTTAAAGTCTTCTTGTCGTAGCTATCCAGGTGTCATCACCAACCGAGCTTAAGCCCCTTACCTCATTTTAAAAATACATAAGTGTCAAAAAAAAAGTATTTTTATCGTTTTTAAATGAACTGTTCTCCTATCTATAATTTTGGAAGCTTATATACAATCATATATGGACAGAGGGGAGAGGGCCCAATTCTTTATATACACGAGCCCTTTACCACCCTAGCTACGCTACTGCTGAAGACATGCTTAAAGTTCTGTTAATCCAATAGACTCGTTTTTAAAAAGCATAGCATTCTCTTAGTTACAAAAAACCAAGTGCATCTACAGTTCAAATAAAACATTGTTTTAAACGCGAAATATATGCTTCAACTTATTAACAATTTATTTTAACTACGGCCCCACTCACGTGACCACGTTTGCTGCAAAGCATCCCTACCGCCGGGCGTTTCAAACCGGTTAACGTCTTAAATGTTTACTATTGGAATATTTGTTCTTGACTTTAAAACATTTGAGAAAAAAATAGATTTTTTTTCTACAGCCATCTGTATCAAGTCTGTAGACTGATAACAGAATAAAAATTATAAAATAACTTTAACGATCTATCTCCGGTTACGAAAGCAAATATTAAAAGGAAATATGCTTATTATGTGTGCTCAAACGCCCCAGTTCCTCTCACATTAGTTTTCCGCCCACGCAACGAAAACATACCTACTACAGTAAAAGCCGTTTGTTAATTTCATAGTGTAATTTATTAGCGTTTGTTGTTCTATTCTTAACGTGAACGTTGGTTGGGAAAAACTCACGCTGGACAGTGAAGAATTATTGCTCTTTTTAAAACCGCTGAAAAGATATACATACTTGTGTATCTGTAGCATTTTTGACACGTTTTAAAATTTTATATACATTTGTTACGTGTGTATGCGAAGCACGTAATTATAATACTTTTAACGGTTTAAAACGAAAAATAATATGTTAAGTTATTTTCACTACAATCTGTCGTTTTGGATGATTTGCAACCTTTCGTGGTCATGTCTGCTTTTAAAACAACAGCTAAAACTGTGTTTTTTTTTTAAATATACATTGGTTTTTAAAAACCTTCACTCAAAACCCATACTGCTTTTAGATTTTACAATGCTTAAAATATGATAAATTTATTCACAAGTTTGACTTCAGTTAAGATCACGGAAAATAATTGGTAGGAAGATGCCTCCACGACAGCATCTGTATTACAAAGGTTAAACGATAGCGATAGGTTACAGGTTCACATCCTGGGAAAACAATCGGGCAGGACAAAGATCTCTTGTCAAATAACACAATGACACGAATATAGAAATGCGTATGCCCCATGCCCCAGATGGATACATTTTGTTTTTACATATATAGAGTGTGTATGTAACATTATGTACGTGTACATTTTGCATAAGCGACCCTCATCATACATACAGAGATATAACTAACGCAATTTCCATTATAGCAACAATGCACTGAAGTGGATGCGTTCAGTTCACAATAACTATAAATACACGCTGCGTTGTTTGATAAAAATCTCTGATACTCACTTAATACCTGTTGTGCAATTTTTACTAGTAATTAACATAAAATTATCCTTTTCCAGTTAGATAATAAATAAGGTAAGCTTCGTAGGTTTAATCTTAAGGTAAAAACGCGCGTACGTTAAATTTTTTTTCATTCTTACCTAAAATGTTTTAATCCTATGGCTATGGTTATACCTATGGCTGCTAATAATTACATTTTTCGCAAAGACAATTTATACTATAGCAGACGGAATTTCGATACTCCACCACCCATTATTATCGAGAGGCCAACAAACCAACATGTTGCAGAAAAATTATAAATCGATTAGAAAAATGTTGGACCTAATGCGGATCAAACCCACAACGCTGTTATTAACATTGCTGCCATTACACCTTCACGGCATGGACCACCTTGTCCACAGATGGAAAAGCCGTTGATTTATATCGCGTTTCCGTTTCAGTCAGAATTTCCGAATATCCAAAGCCAAAGTGAGTCGACAGCTCGTTTAGATGCTATATGGCTGGGCTCATCTACCATCAAGGGAACCCACTCCCATGTTATACTCTTCTATATATAATAAAGCATAATTATTTATTTGTCAGGTGCTAGACGCGATGTTCGAGAAGCGTTCGGAGCCCGGTGAATACGTCATCCGGCAGGGAGACGACGGGGATAACTTCTACGTGATCGAGAACGGTGTGTTCGACGTGCTGGTCACGGGGGACGATGGCGTCGAGAAGGTGAGGGCTTTTTTATTCGTTTATGCATTTATTCAATTCAATTCGCCGATTATCATCGTCCGCGTGGAATAAATATTTTTCGACATCAAAATTTGTTTTTGCACATCTCTGCTCAAGCTGTTACTCACGACGTTATCCGCCTTCCTTCGTTATTGCTAAGTTAATCTTAAAAGATAGACATATAATCATCATAGGAATCATTCTTTCATAGATATCTTTTGGGTAACTTGAACTAACAAGGATGAATCATTTTTCGCCGTGTTTTTCCGTTTTCTTCGCTCCCATTGGTCGCAGCATGATGTTATATACCCTAAAGCCTTTCTCGATAAATGGTCTATCCAATACAAAAATAATAATTTTCCGAACCAAGTGTTCCTGTGATAAGCGCATACAAACAAACTATTCATCTTTATAAGTACAGATTTCTCCTGTCAGTGTTTGTGTACAGACAGTGCAAAACACCTTCACTAAATGGTTAAAGGTGTTACCATAACATTGCGCTTAGCGCGAGGTATTCTCGGTTCAAATCGTGGCAATATATTGTTTCGGTCGGGTAGTGCACAAGTTTGATTATTTGCTCCCTAATAAAAATAATCAAATACTATCTATAGTTTACGCGAGTAGTACACATTTAAAACGCGATTTAAAACGCGATGTATTAGTTTAATTAAGTGTATTATTTAAAAATAATCAGTGAAATGGACATAGACCTGTATTCCCCCCATTGGGAGAAACAGGATTTGCGCCGAGTGCTGTACTTGTCTCCAATATATAATTATATGTACATACTATTAAAATTACGTACTATGTTATATCTCTAACGGTGCGATTGAGTTTTTGATTTGAAAGTCGATAAAATTTTTGTTGTTGAACTGATAACAGTCGTTTTATGATATTTTTAGATCGAACAAGTGCATTTTCTAAAGTTGATTATCTCATTGATTAGCATTGATTCAAATCAGTTACGTGTCAATGTATAAAACATGTCGTTTTACATAAAATGTTTTACTTATTTAATAATAGATAATAAAAAGAAAAACAATTAGATTTGATACAAGTCCCTTGTCATTAAATTTTTTAAATCTAATTAGATTTATAATATTCTTAGAGACTTACAAAAAACGAAATAATACTACTTTCTAATTATTAAATCACACAACACAGAATTATTTGAAAGAAAGACAGATTGACTTTTCATACTTCTATTGACACTAAGTACTAGTAGGTATAAAAATAGTCATAATAGATAGTTAAAATAAAATTTTTATTCAATAAATGTGATAAATAAATAAATGTTTTCAATCGAGTGTTGGCACAACCAAATTCGTCTACACGTGGCGCGTAGGACCTTTTACAGACTACTACCACGACTTCTTATTCCCTCCTTGATGAAGTCGTCTCAAGAATTCCTCTAACAATATAAATATTATTTTCTATTCAGGTGGTACACACATACGAGGGTTCGGGATCGTTCGGGGAGCTGGCGTTGATGTACAACATGCCCCGCGCCGCGTCGGTCCGCGCGCAGAGCCCTGGCGCCCTCTGGGCCATGGACCGCCACACCTTCCGCCGGATCCTGCTCAAGAGTGCGTTCAAGAAGCGCAAGCTGTACGAAGAGCTGCTCGACAAAGTGCCCATGCTGAAGGCTCTGCAGGTTAGTCACTATGTTGTTCTGGTACCCGAAGCGGTCTGTCTGCAATTTCCTTATAATATTTCGTTACATAATCGTTGAAAAAAATACCGTCTGTAGTGTTCGCGAGTAGTACACTTTTAAATAAAACACTTTAACGGTTTAAAACGCGATATATACGTTAAACTTATTTGGAAATTATTTTAACTATGGCCCGTCGTTTAAAGATTTGCAGTGGCCGTTGTCCGAAGTTTGTTGTGGCTAGACTGACGGGCCGTAGTTAAAATAATTTATAAATAACTCTCAAATTTTTATATGATAAAAGAGCCAATGCAATAATAAATTAAAAAAAAAACTTCTGTGTACAAGATACAATTTAAACTTAAATTTTTTTAACGAAAATCTGTGTTAAATCGTATAAAACAAAACTAGTTGGTTATTTTAAATTGATAGCAACAGATATTCGTTGTAGAATATAAGGCTTAGCAATCTGTAAGAGGCTTTACTTTGATATCTTGTACAATACAATCTCGTAAATAGTTAGATTATACAAAATCTCTAGAAAATAAAGTTTATTCACGTTATTTTCAAAGCTTTTTTCGTTTATGAACATATGTCTCGAAAATATATTCTACGTTTCATACTGATTATATGAAATGTAGGTAAAACTATTTTATATACAGTAACACCCAGAACTGTTACAATTGTTTACACTTAAGCTGAGTACTCACAAGTGGAATGTAAGCGTTGCACGGATTACTTGTATTTTTTCTAACTTGGCATGAGTCCACAAAAAATTCGGCCGATTTCAAACCATAGAGAACTAGTGAATGACCTTTTATAGAGTGAGAATAGAATAGAATAGAAGACGTTCGTTCGGAAACAACACAAGACATTTAACAAACACAATACAAAAATCATTAAGTTGTTGCCACAGATGACATAGGCATTATTAAACATCTATTTATGGTCAATAATATTCAAAATCACTTGTATGATGATCATTTATTTTTAGCCATTTTATTTGTAAAGTGTGTGTTTGTTTACCAAAATGCCAAGTTAGGAAAAATACACTTTTGATGGTTTTGAGATTTGGCCAACCAAGTAAAATTAAGCGGATACCAGACAGAGACAGTCTAGACGTCCGTACTTGTGCTGTTGTTAATTCCTAATATAAGAAAACCACATCAAACTCATGATTTAGGGCCTACAAACTTGCGCTTGCGACTATGTTTGTAAAAGTGTAAATCAACGTGAATTAATTCATTGGTGTAAACCGTAAAAGGATTATATTGCTTATTCTATTACATGCTTTGTTCCACATCTCCCCTATCGTTGTAAATACAATAACGTACACCAGAAGCTTCGTTACCAACTTTACCGTATCGCATTCTCCAGTTACAGCCACGACTTGCCGGTGAGTACCCGACCTAACAATAACGCCCACAGTCGTTACACCTGTTTATACTTTACTTGTTTTCTAAATAACCCGATTACGGCTTAGTAGGTTGTTTGCTGAGGGTCTCCCTAAGTTTGGTCGCTCGGAAAAACTTACGTATTACGTCATTCACATATTGTTTGTTTAGTCCCCCCTATGTTAAGTGAAAATTTAACAAGGGTTAACATTGCGTTTGTGTTTATAAACATGTAAATAACTTGACTCGGGCAGGACTTGAACCGGCATCGTCAGCGTTCCGTGCTGTTGCTCTAAGGAATATACTTTTTCATTCTTCATCGATGTCATGTCTCCGCTAACTTTGATGGGGCGTTAACTGATTAAGGGACGAAAATTTACTTATACTAAAATTGAATTGGCGCGTTGGTGTAATGGTAGCTCGTATCAACCGGTCGTGGGTCCCACCGACGGGTCTAACATGTTTATTATAAATGTATAGTTCTGAAACAAGTGTCAATCCGTCTGGGAATCTGGATGTTAATTAGATAGTAGGTATAATCACCACCCACAACGGAAAGAGCCGAAAAGGTTTAATCGCGTTACAGTTCCGAATATCTAAAGATATTCGAAAATCCACTAATGGGGCTATTAGGCTTTAGCCAAAATAAGCCGTCAGCGCATCGAGTTAAATGTTATGTCTAGTGTATTTCAGCTTCCGTGAAGTGAGACCTGTGCTTATCTGTCCTCTATTAAAAAATAACTACAGCAAGCCGGCTTATTTAGAATGAACCTAGATATATTTTTACACCTCTATAAGGAATACAAGCAGCTGTTGTTTTGGAGCGTATCACGTATTCTAGGTCAATATAAAGCCGTTTAGAATTCATTTTAAACGGAAATCTCTCGGACAAAGAGCGATGTACTTTTTCGAACGCATTGTTTACCAAGGTGTACACGTACTCATAGTATAATATTCAGATAAATGTTCTACAATCCAATCCCAGAATGGTATCACAAATATGTATTTTAATAGATTCTTCTATACGTACATAGCTTGTATCTTGTGATAAGTATAGCAAAATTAATTTATCGTTCAAACAAAACACTTTAACGGTTTAAACCGTGAAATATATTAGTTAAACTTATTTGAAAACTACGACTCGACTTAATATATTTCGCGTTTTAACTCGTTAAATTTAAGTTTCATTTAAATGTGTAGGTACTCGGTAAACTACAGGCAGTATTTAATTTTTCGTTTCTTATTTTTTGTCGTCATTTTAAACTCAATCTTCTTGATGGACCGCCTCTCCAGCTGAATGGTTTATCGCGTTGAATTGCGTTAAGTGCGTGAGGTCCTGGGTTCGAATACTGGAGATATAATAGATTGTTTTGAAAAGCTGGGCACATAAGTCTGATTTCCTACTTGCTTGTACATAAATAAGACTGATCAGTCAAACGGACTTTTACACAAAAATGTTTTGTTAAGTATAATATAATAATCTTATATATTCTTTAATATTAATCTATAATCGATGCTAGATGACGTAATATTAAATTCATTTCTTTTGTGTTTTAATCCGTATTTAAGTATTCGAATACGAAATGTATAATTCGGGGGGAATTATCGTTGATTCAAGCTTTCGATTATCTTTGATTGGCGTAATACGTAACTACTATAAACTTAACGATAAATTAGTTGAAAAATGACAAAACAAACTACGTATAAACGTCATAGGTCAGCTGAATTCTTCTACCCTAAAAAAGTCACAAGGGATATAACTCATCATCTAATGGCTTACAGTGTCTGATGTACGAGCGTTGATACGCGTTAATTTTAAATTAAATAACCGAGAATAGAGCACGCTAGCTGACGCAAAGCTCGCGTGAAATTCTCTTTTTAAATTCCTCTGAATTAGGCGGGAAATTGTTGGAGCTTTTTCCAGACTAACAAAAAAGACTATAGGGATTTTATCGACGCTTAATTTTATTATTAATCGGACGAACATGGAGTTTAATTTATGTAAATTGTGTATTTATAAAAATATGATTAAATTAACAAGTTATTAAAGTAGCAAGTTGATGTAGTAAGCTTTATGTGAACTGCTAGTTGACACGGCAAACGTTCCTTTGCCATATGAAGTATTTCGCCTAAATTCGATTATCTTTGAATTAATTGTGAGTTAATCTTCAAAGAAATAAAATTTGAATTTTTAGTTAAAATTTAAAGAAGAGTAATTTTGATATTTTGTCGGTATCTTGAATAGCGCGCAAGTGGCAATACGCGGGATGGAATCCATCAAAGATGTATATTTATTTTTCTTTTTTCCACATTTGCCACTAATCTTGCCTTCTATTAGTCTTCTTTGATAAAAGGCCCAACCAACCAACACGTAAAATTTCGATTCAAACCAGTGTTTCTTGAGATGAGCACGTTTAAACAAACGAATTCATCACCTTTATAATATTAGTATAGATTATAGCGGAAAAAAAGTAAGAAACATGCGTCATGTCTAGTCTCAACGACAATCAGCATGACAGTTACAAAGTCGTTTAAATGAATTATCTGAACTCTCATATAATAAATAAATGTATATTTATACCAATAATTAATAATTAAGAATTCACACCTATCACAAACTTAAGTGAGCTTGTGCAATTAAAATACATACTTAATAATACTATTTAAAAACATGTTTACACGAATTCTATCTCATTGTGGAAAATTGAAAAATATGTAATCTTGTGTTTTGTCTATTACATGTCCTTCAGTTGGAAACTTAAATAATGTTCAATGCAATGATTGATGGACGAGTGTTGCCAGGTCATGTGATTTCAATATAGCAAACTAGATGTAAACATTGAAATATTGATTGCGGACAACACAACTGCAATGGGCAGTATGATTAATTAAATTTTCCAACAGCCCAGAGGCTATTATGCCGCTGAGTGCCGACCGCTCCGACGCTGTGGATTATTACGAGGCAAAGTAAGCGCTTGGCAATTTAAAAAGATAGCTTTAGCTCACACTTTTCAATACATAGAATATTAACGTTTAAATAAAACACTTTAACGGTTTAAAACACGATATAAGTGAAACTTATTTAAACTACGGCCCGACGTTTCGGATGCTATGCAGCAGTAGTGGCCACGGAGACTGTCGGGTCTGTAATATGTATATCGCTTTAAACAGTTAAGTAATAGTAAAATTAAATTTTTGTCCAAGTCTTAGTTTGCCTATCCTTAAGGTCCCAAGTCCCGACGGCATCTCAAATAAGTTAAACTAATATATATCGCGTTTTAAACCGTTAAAGTGTTTTATTCAAATGTGTGCTCGCGTAAACTACAGACGGAACAATAACGATATATTATAGCTTAGGGTTCACTCGATGGTAGGTGATATACCCCAGCCATATAACATCTGAACAAGATGCGCTATCGACCTATTTTGGCTTTGGATATTTGGAAATGTTCTTAGTATTGTTCTTAGAGGTTAGCGGTATCAAATTAATTGGAGGTTAGTGCCAGCGAGTCAACCCAACGCTTCGCTGTCCACGTCTAACGTAAACAAGTACAGATTGCTCGGCTTCAGTTAACACCGTAATAAAATGTATGTAAACAGCTTAAATCG